TAATTGGTTTTTAAAATGAATAGTGTTCCATTTTGTCCTCAGGGACAGTTTGGCGAGTAATCTCATACTGACCTTGACACCCTGATACTGTAAAATGCAGATCAGGTTGCTTCTTTCAAGCTGAGAAATGATTTAATTTGGGTTTATTTCTAGTAAAAGGGAGCTAATAAGGAAATATTTGTGAGCCTCTTGCCCATGTGATAACATATTTTCTCCATATATAAAAGCATTGAGCTAGTTGTAGTATTTGATTTACAGGCTCATTAGAGAACTAGACAGATGTTACTAACTTCACTGACTCTTGGGCTCTTCTCTCTTTTACTAGTTTACAGAGACTAAATTTTGGGCATCAATCCATGTTTTAACATGTAATTCTAATGAAGTGTGATTGACGCTCTTCACATAAACTGGTGTCATTAAGCTGCTGTTCCAAAGGGTGTGCAACTTTGAGTGAATGCACTCAGCTTACAGGTTAAACAAAATCAGATTTCCTATGCACTGGCTGTAGATTTTTTTTATCTTTTTTTTTCCTGTTTGCAGATGAATTGACTAGCAGAAAATTCTAGAACTTAAGAATCAGTGTGATTTGAAACATTGACCATATGGTAACAAAAAGCATTACAAGAGAGGAAAAAGGTATTGCAGAATAGCAAGGAGACAGCAACGACTTGAACCCTCAAAAATTGGTCATGATGCTGATCTATTAGAACTGAAGCTGATTGTTGTTTATTTGGTATCTGTACTGCACTGAAGGTAAGAGGGCATGAGTCACTTTGCAGCATTCAGGCATGGACAAATGTGAATTGCCCCTGACTAAACTACCTGCAAGCAAGAAGCTGAAATTGCTCTGCAGTTGAGGAAGCTGCGTGCATGCCTGCCTTCTGTCATGGCACATACACAATCTCCAAGCGTTGCTGTTATTTTGCCTCCATACATATTAATAACTGAATTTTGTAATCAATGGTTTCATATGAAAGCTGAAGGAAATTAGGTTCCTGGTGAGCTTCACATAAGACAAAGAAAGAATGCATACAAATACCATGCCTTCCTCCGTTTTAGGAGGGTGAAGATCTCTTACCATCCTAATGCATGGTCAGATGTGCAGAGACGGTGTTGTAAGAAGTCCGTGTGAAAAAATTACTTCAAGAACAAAAGCAAACCATATGCTTTCCTCCAAAGCAGTTAGAATGGTAAGGTACTTGCAGTGCTTGAATCAAAATGTCCTTGATTAAAAGCCAGTGGATCCCTTTGAAATTAGTTGAAACTGTTTTCTCTAAGCAAAAATGAGAATTTAGTTTGTATATGAAAGAAAAGTGATCTCAAGTCTCCACTTCGGTTTTTTTTCAGTTATTTTGGAGATGCACCAGAGGTGTTTCTGATGTTGAGGATGTAGTCTGTCCCTGTTTTCAGTGAAACAAGATCAGGAAAGAGCATTCACTTAAGGTACCATCTCTTCTGAGCTGTCAGTCATTAACAGACCTTTTCTTTTGTTTGGGCAGTAGCAGGCAGCTACCTGTGATGGAGCCTGTTGCTCAGAGGATGAGTAGATGGATGTTGTTTGCCTTGTGCCTCTAGGAAACAGCAGGAATGGCTGCAGGATGATGTGTTTCAGGAAGGGTCCACGATAAACCTCTGATGTTGAGGGGGTTCTGTGGTGTTTGACACACAACTGAAAATAATGTATTTCCACCATGGTGAGACTTGTTTTCATATTCCTGAGAGGAACTGGTTGCCTGCAGTGCATCAGCCCTGTGCTATCTTCATGTTGTGGTTTGTGCTACCTTTCAGTTTTCATGGGCATCTCTCCATGTATCAACAAGAATCTAAACTCCTCCTTAAAGTCTTGTCCGGGGTTCAGCAGTAGCACTCATTTTTCCCCTTCTTGGTAGCTGGTGTAGTGCAGTGTTTTGACTTTCAGCTCTGATAGTGATGTTTAGGTTTGGCCAAGGACTTTGTGAGCCTCATGCTCTCTGACCCAAACTGACCAAAGAGGTACCACAGCACGTTTCTTGGGAGACGGCAGGGTTAACTTTTTCTATCTCGGCTGGTGGTGAGATGATGTATTCTCTTCCCTTGTTATTTCCTTTATCATTATTATCATTGGTGTAGCAGTAATCTGTGTTATACCATTAGTTACTAAACTGTTCTTATCTCAACCTGTGGGAGTTGCATTCTTTTGATTTTCCTCTCCATCCCTCCGAGAGCAGGGGGAGGGCAAGAAAAGGGGGGGAAGTGAGCGAACGAATTACCTGACTGGGTTTAAACCACGACAAGTCTCTAAGTTTTCTTTTAACTTTTTCTATCTCATAAGCATTTTGGCTAATAAATTATTCTATAAACCAAGCATATATGCTCTCACGCTCTCATACGCAATCTCATCTATTTGGATTTTTTGTTTATTCTTCTTAAGGCTTTTCCTGGATACAGGGTAGTCCAACTGGTCTTAAGTTGCCTCTGAATTCTGCACTGACCCACAAGTGCAGTGAGCAGTGAGGCTATGACAAACCTGACACATCTGGCTTGTGGCTGCCCAGAGATCCATAAGAGCTGCCAGTGCAATTTGGGTGTTTGCAATTCCTAGATGTGGCAGGGAAACTCTCTTTTCCAGTGTAATAGGGTTACATTCATCTTTCTTCATGTCTAAATTAATTGCCTTGTCTTTCTGTCTGCTGGCAAATTTCATGTTTCATTTACTGTAAACAAATATGCATTCTCCCATATATGCCAGGCTTCAGCATACAATAGATTTTCCTCCTTCTTATTTCAAAAGAAATGTTTATCAATAAAAAGAGAATTAAAATGTGTCATGATGATTTGGACTAAAAATAAAAACATTGAGGCTAAGCTTTCATCCCAATTATACCTTGACAGTAAGAAATACTGTTTTGTGTCTGTATGTGAATTCTCAGTTTTAGAGAATACGAAGCAATATTTGTTTTTTGGTTTTGTGTATTTGGGGTTTTTTTAATCACTTCTCCTTTAGCAATCTGTGGGATTTTGGTTTGTCTTTGTGTGGTTTTTGCCTCTGTTTTTTTGTTATTGTTGTTTTAGGAGTATAATAGAATTACTTTTTGTGTGAAATTGTTTCTCATAATGATTTTGTCTTGCAATACTCCTTGCTTACAGCTCATGCAATGGCAGTCAGAGTGAATTTCTGAGTCCTGTTGACCCTCTGTACTTTAACCCCCTGGATTTTGCCTTCATTGGCTTATAATATATAATATTTCCTGATTCCTAGAACTACCTTGGCATAGATGTTTTGAATGATGTACTTCAGTTTGTTGTCCATTAATCTTGGGGGAGGGAAGTTATGCTTTTCTACTTGCTGCCCTCCATCCTTAACATTACAGCAATACTCTGACCAAAGGAAGTGGTTGGCACTAGCAGTAGATAATGAGAGCAATGGCAAAATATTTGCAGCAGGCAGTGGATGTGAATGTATGTTGCATGTGATAACCCATATACCCATATACCTGTTTGCATATAAATATATGCAAACAGGTATTCTTAATAGTAAGGAAAAACCTCCACCAGGCGTAACTATATTTTTATATCCTCTCTATATTATCTCTTACTGGTATGTTCAGTACACCAATTACAAAAACAAATATACTATGCCTACCCAAACCATTATCAGTTACCATTTAGCATACTCATTAGAAATGGTGCTTTAGAATATGAATGTCTATATTATTTTTTAAAATGTCATTCTTCACTTAAAGTACTACTATTCTACCACTGATGACTATCAAATTACGTTGTCAACTAATATGCAAATAGCCTACTGGGTTGTTATAATTTCAAATAAGTTTCAGTATTTTCACACTGAATGTAAATGTTGAGTTCTAATGAGTTTTGGTTTGCAGTAAGGAGGGATCTGACAACACGGTGTGGTTGTAGTAGGCAAGGCTGGGTTTGAGCCAAAGCTGCAATTTTGATACCTGAATAGAATTGAATCCTCTTAACTTGATTCCTCATACCTCAAAACATTGGAATTCTGTTTCTAAACATGGTCTTGATAGAGGCTAATCCTAATTGAGGGACTGACTGAGTACTGTTTTTTTGAGGGGTAGCTTCCTAACATGCAGTAGGTCAGTTTACTGGTTAAGAAGCATGACTACTAAGAAACTTTCTTTTCAAAGCAGCTGACATCATTACTCCAGCTATGTTCTGATACACAAGCACCTCCAGGTTGCTTATGTACAGCTGTAAAAATTGTTAGACTTCTCTAATATTCCAGACACCAGAGAGAGTTCCTTTTGATACGTTATGGTTGAGTGCTCTTTCCCCCTTGTACTTTTATTTTGATTCTCCAGTCTGATGTAGTTTTCTTATGACCCATTTTGTCGTATGTGCTTTTACAAGATCAAGCTGCTAACTGCTTTGGAAAGGTGTTTTATTTATTGCTGGTGTTGTTATTCCCACATGTAGACAGAAGGAATAAAAGGATTAATGGCTTAGGCAAAGATTTACAGCTTCATTTTTGTAGCACAGATATTTATATAGGCATTTACACTTTGCAGAGCTTGTGTTAACATACCTGTTCTGAGGTTTCTCTGGGTCTGTGTGATCTCAGAAAAAAAAACCCATGTTTACTCTTTCTGTGCCGTGTTTTCCCTGTGAGTTTTGTAGCTAGGGCTTAACACTCCCAAAACTTGTGTGTCTTTAATATTTCAGTGAGCTGGAATTTGTGTGTTGTCAGATCTTCACAAAGATGGCAATAACTATTTCAGCCTGTTGTTGTTTCTGAACAGTTAGCAGTTCTGGAGTATGCACTGTCTGATCCCTTTGGAAGCTGCTCCCTGGCCTTGAGGATGAACAGCAGAAGCCTCTGCTGCAGGCAGGGACCTGGTGAGATGCTCCACCAGCAATGCTGTGGCTTCCCCCTCCAGCCAGGAGAGCCATCTGCCAGGAAGAAACTTGCACTGAGCTTCTGTGCACCTTGCCCTGTAAGCAGGCTCTCCTCTCATTAACCCGATGGCTTGTTTTGCTCCTGGCAGTGCTGCATGGGCAGGTGTACCGGTTTTGCACCCTGGAGGGGACGTGGCTGCTGAAGGAGAATTCAACCCTGCCCTGGAGGAACCTGTCTGAGTGTGAAGCCTCTGACCAGGTAAGAGTTTCCTTCTCTTGTTTCTGATGTTGTTTAGGACAAAACAGAAGAGAGAAAAAATACAGTCATTGATGCTCACGCATTTGTGTCCTGTCCTGAGTGCCTTGCTTCAATGAGCTTAATGGTAAGGGACATCACACCTCTCCTTTTCAACAAAGGGAATGTGGAGGGTAGATGAGAGCAGGTTTCAGTGTATGTGAACGAGCCAAGAGAAGTGAACCAGGTAGTCCCAGCTGCGATGCAAGGCAGGGGGCTCAACAGCAGCCCACCCAAATGGAGGAGTGACCTAATTGCCTTTTCTTACATTCACAAGTTGTTACTGTAAAGTGTTTATTCTGTCTTGTTAGTAGCTGTTAAGGTGATTAAGATGAACTGAACTGAATGATATTTGCTTTTTACCTTTGGGCAGGGGGCTTTTTACTTGTTTGGGGTTTGTTGGGTTTTTTGTCTTTTATTTTAATTTGCCGTGACCGATGGAATTAGTCTTGTCAGTGTTATTTTTTTGCCCTATTGCTTTATACTCTGCAGGGAGCTGAGACAACTGGGCACCAAATGAAGGAGAGCATAGGGATTTCCAGGGGATTTTTGTCAGCCACTGGCGTCAGCTAGAGCACTGTGCGTTCTCGTGACACATGATACCATTACTGCTGTGAGCCTCCCAAGGGCGATGCTTTTTCTCACATAAATTGAGTGCACTCTGTCTGTCCCAGGGTACTGGGAACTAGCACACACCTAGTCAAAAGAGTGCAAGTATATGAAATTCCCAAGTGCTGCAGGGCCTGTGCCCTCTTGAGTTCTCATTCCTCAATGCCTCATTCTTCAGAAGTAATAAATGGCTGCAGACTGGAAGGAGATAGGAGAAGAGGTAGCTTCTAATTCTTTAGTTATATTAAATTTGACTGTTTTCCTTTAATTTGCAGTCTTTTTCCTTGTCCCTTCTTTTTCTGAGGTATCCCAGCAGAGCATGTTATCTTGAACAACTAGGCCTACGCTCTGTATTGACTTTTCCTTGTTTGCCGTTATGGTTTCTTCCAGAACTGTGTTGGGACATGCTAAGGAGAGAGAGACCTCATGGAAACACTTGGCCATTTGGCACGTGCATCCAGATTTCCATACACTGACCTGAATACTGAAACCCTGCATACATGTTGTCAGTCCCTGAAATGTGAACAGCTGTGTTTGGTTTTCCAGCTAATATATAGAGAGCCCCATAACAACCTACTTTATTTTAAGCATCTTGTACATGAGAACAAAAGGTTGCTTTAATAAGTTAGCTGTGTATTATTTACAATTGTTGCTAAAACAAAATCCAAAGGGTTTGTGAGTGAATCCTTATAAAATAGCATTGATTTACTTTGTTTATAATGTGGTTTTGATCTGCATAGATGCTTTAAATTGTCAGGTCTCTGTAGTTTACCTGAGCTTTGATACTGAAGACATTTTAGTTTTTTCTTCATAAGGCAGCTCTTGTATCATTCCCTTTAAATCATTAACCTAGCAAATCCCTGGGGAACAGCCTGTATGTTCAATTTAAATCCTCCTGTCTCTTCAAAGTACATCTGAATAGCTGTACTTATTTCTGAAGTACAAGTATATTCCTTTGTACAGCACAGGTCTCAGGAGTCAGTTGCAGAATTAGCAGCTTGAAGAAGGGAAGTGAAATGCCCTAGTCTAAATAGACTAAGATATGTGCTTAGAAGTGAACCAGAATAAAGAATATGAATGTACCTCTCAGGCTGAGCAATAATCCTGTAGCTTTTAAAATACTTCCCTACAGATTTTGTCCAGCCCTTTCAAACAAGGGTCTCAGTAATCATGTCTTCAACAGAGAATCTGAAGAGAGTCACAGGTCAGGACTGTCGGAGGGGTGCAAGCATCTGTGGTGCTCACACTGGGTTGCTCCCTCCTGGACCGTGCTGTAACACCTAGGTCATGAGATGTTGTTGGGCTATAGTTTGTTACCAGGAGGTTACGCAGTTGAGACAGAAGAGGGCAGAACATAGTTATATGAATGTAAGCATGCTTTGCCTTAGAGTCAGTGAATGGAACCTGACTTGGTTTACCTCTAAGTATGGATGTAGTCAGAGGACCACCCTCTTTACAGGAGTAAGGAGACTTGTTTTAAGTGTTCAAGTCTGAAAACATCAATTTTGCTGGTTTTACTGCTGGACTGAGTTGTGTCTGTGCTTCCTGCCATCTGTTTAAGACTTGCTTTTGTGGTAATTCATGCCTCTCCAACTTGTTATGAAATAATGCCACGTTATCTATTTTCTAGCCTGGCTGTTTGAGCGAACACCTGGGAGCATCTGGGGAATTAAGATTAAATTTTTATTTCTTTAGAGCATACAGAAAGTGGAAGACTTGATTTGATATGTGCACTGAAACTTGAAAGTAGCAGAATGGCTTCTGGTTATCATTAAGAACAGTTAAAAAGCAGCTGGAAGAAAAGAACTGAAGCCCATCAGCTCTGTCTTCCCCCCCCCCCCCTTTTTTTTTTCTCCTTTATATGCTCTCAGGATGCACCAGAAGAACAGCTCCTGAATTTGTCCATCATATACACCATTGGATATGCTCTTTCCTTCTCTGCCCTTGTAATAGCAACTGCCATTCTTCTTGGATTCAGGTAACTGGCAAAGCTCTGAAGTGAATGGGGAAAAGGTGTTACGTTTTTCTGTATGATAGTATTGGACTTCAACAGGCTTTCTCCATTTGATTATTTTTTTTCCTTCTTCTATCACCTCATTATTTATCTATCTTATGTCACGTCTGTGTTCTTTCCTACAATCATTTCTTCTCAAAATGCAAGTAAAATTCTTAAATTTTTGCAATGTTACTTGTGTGAATGAGTAGAACAGATGATTGTATCAGCTGAAATGTTTTGTTGTGACTTTTTGTTTCAATTAAATTCCCACTGGAAGAGATGGGAGAAGAGAGAGATTCCAGCATTTCCTCATGGTGTTGCTTTGCAGATGAAGCACTAGTCTGGGGTGTGAGAGGACATTTAGGGCAGAAACTTTCATCTTGCCTTGCTTGGAATTACACAGAGCATAAATTTCACTCTGTCCTATTTCCCTGCCGGCTCCCTGCTACTGTGTATCGCCAGGTCCCATCATCCCTTTTGCAGACTGATGAGGGTGCCTCCTAAAAAAAGAGTACAGTTTTCCGTCTCCTGGTACTCTCATTTGAAATCAAGTTGGGAACCTTCAGTGCTCTGATCCTTAAGAAACTTCCCTCCCTGACTAAAGAATTATCATTGCCAGTTAACAGTCATTTTCTCTGGTGCCAGCACTCTATTTTAGCAGTGCAATCCAACTCCTTTTCACCCTTTTAAGTGTTTATACCCCTTATGTATTTAAAAAATCAGTCACACCTTTTAGCTTCTCATTTCCAAAACTAAAATGATACAAGCCTTCTAATGTTGCACCACACCTTTTAGCATTGTATTACTCCCTCCTCCTTCCAGTGGAGAAGCATAGGCTAGTGATCTCAAAGATTTAAAATTACTGCAGAAATGCAGAGATGTGCTTGCTCTCTGTGAATGCCATGGGATAATTGATTTGTGTGCGTTGTACCTGTGCAACTTTGGGACTCATTTGACAAGACACCAGATGTCTTGAAGTCTCCAAATGTCTCTCACATAAGTGCTTGCTTCTTGTTTCACCCATCAGTGATACTTCTGAGTAATCTTAACAGGCCAAACTTAAAGGTCACAGAGCACAACCATATACTTTTGGGAAGAAGGAAGGATGTGAACGTGGTTTGTCAGGGAACATGGGTAAATTTGTCACTTACTCTCCTATGATGACTTGTAGAAGAGAGGGGAACTTTGGTGCCTTAACTTTTGTGGAGAGACACTTTCACATTTTTAACTTGTACTGTGAAGCAGGAATCACAGTATCACAGTATCACAGTATCACAGTATGCTGGAGATTGGAAGGGACCTCAAAAGATCATCTAGTCCAATCCCCCTGCCAGAGCAGGAACACCTAGATAACGTTACACAGGAATGTGTCCAGGCGGGCTTTGAATGTCTCCAGGGAAGGAGACTCCACAACCTCCCTGGGCAGCCTGTTCCAGTGTTCCGTCACCCTCACTGAGAAGAAGTTCCTTCTCAAGTTTAAGTGGAACCTCTTGTGTTCCAGTTTGCACCCATTACCCCTTGTCCTATCATTGTTTGCCACTGAGTAGAGCCTGGGTGACACTCCCCCTTTATATATTTATAGACACTTATAAGGTCACCCCTCAGTCTCCTCTTCTCTAAACTATAAAGACCCAGCTCCCTCAGTCTTTCCTCATAAGGGAGATGCTCCACTCCCTTAATCATCTTGGTTGCCCTGCGCTGGACTCTCTCCAGCAGCTCCCTGTTTCTTAACTGAGGGGCCCAGAACTGGACACAATATTCCAGATGGGGTCTCACCAGGGCAGAGTAGAGGGGAAGGAGGACCTCTCTCGACCTACTAAAATCGGTGACGTGTACACTAGTGTGTGCTTCTGATATTGAAAATGAATTTTCAGGGATGTTAAAGGGGATTAGAGTCTTGTTAAAGCTGTCATAAATCTATTTTGTGCTCTCCTGTCTAAATTGCCTGAGGAAAAATTGGTCCTGGATCTCATGAAATGCATGAGGCCTATCCCTATGTGCACTGCAGTTGCTGGATTTTGATTGGAATCTCTGTTCGTGGCCTCTCCCCAGTAGCTGCACAACGTCAACAAATAGGGATCAAAATCTAATTCAGTGGCACCAAAATGCTGGTGTTCTTCCCTTTGTAATAAGGAGGCCTTTTTAAGTTCCTAGACTACAGAATAACCCTTGGTTTTAATAATGATAAAAGAAATAATATATCTCTAGTGTCCAATTTTGCATCCTCTGAAAGAAATGGAAGAAAAGTCCAATTTCAGTGATGGAAGCTGAATTAGGGCCATAACTTTGTGACTGAAACAATTTAAATAACTTTTATTGCTTATAGCAGAAATACTCTGTAACGACTTGCAATCTATTTTCTTCAGTTGGTTAATTTACATAATTTTTTTTTCAACCTGTGTCAGTTCTGAAGGGTAGCAACAAATAAATTTTGAGTTAAAGAAAAATAAATATTAATCATATGTCAGTTTTGAAATAAGCCGTGACTTAAAAGTGTTGCAAAAAATTCTATTTGAGCTATGGAAAAAAAGTTCTCTTTCTTCGGTGCAAAACATAGAACTTTCAGATCAAGTTCATTTTTCTACCAAAATTTATAGGGCAATAAAAATAGACATAATCTTTCTGGATCAGTTACTGTCTATCATATGTTACTTGTATCTTTTTAGTATCAAAAAAGAATCATACCTAGTGTAACTTCCTTTGAAACAAAGGATGCTGTGTACCCTTGCAGAAGAAGGGAAGAAAAATGTTTGTGGGTAAGGCTGATAAAACATTGGCAGCACCCTGCAGTTGGATGCCATTTACATGACTGCAGTTTCTTTTGCTATCCCTTAACATGCTCTTTTTTGACAAGTAGCAATTTTATTATCTTTACAGCTGGCTGCTGAATTTCAAGGGTTTTTTTTACATGGTTGTTTTTTTTTGTTTGTTTGTTCTTTGTTTTTTTTTTCAATTCTGAATGCAGAGGTCAAGTTTCTGTTCCTTTTACTTCTACAGAAAGTATTTACAATTCCTTCAGGGGGCAATCTGAATACAGATTTTTCTCTTGTCAAAGTGGTAATTTACAGGTTGATGTTTTTTCATTGTGGGTTTGGGCACAGCCAGAGGCTGCACTGCGCACCAGTTCCTGAGCCAAGTGCAGTGACATTGGGGTCAATTCAAAGAGATTAGATTCAGCCTTATGTGAAACTTAACTGTTTTCAGCCCTCCCAGATATTTCTTTTCAAAATTATTTTTATACTTTTTAAACTTTGAATGTATTTTTTCCTTACACACTGATCTCCTTCCTTCCCCCAAACACTTGGGGCTAAAGTTTGGAATGTCTTTTCCTTGAAAGAGATTTTTTTCCAAAACCACTTTGAAATCCCTACAGCTATTCTCAAGTTATGGGATTTCCTCTGGTACCTCCTGATTTCCAACAGGGCTTGTTGCTCCCTCCCTCAGTCCTATGTGTGATGTTGCAGCTTATCCATAGGTAGTGGATCATGACTGATTCTTCCTTTTTACAGACATCTGCATTGCACAAGGAATTATATTCACCTAAACCTCTTCATCTCGTTTATCCTCCGGGCTGTATCAGTCTTCATTAAAGACTCAGTGGTGAAGTGGATGTACAGCACAGCTACACAAGAGCACCAATGGGAAGGACTTGTTGCCTACCAGGTAGGGGCAGACACTGGGGTAGTCCTCAGGATATTGGAGTCATCACTGCAGTGTGTCTGGATGACAGAAGATAATTTAATGTTGTAGCTGTGCCACCCTGTTCTTGGGACAGGCAAGTAGCTGATGCCATGGCATGCTTCTCTGCCTGTGGGAAGTTTGCCTATACTAGACAGAAGAAACATGAAGAGGTGGACTTTTGATATATATATATGTGTGTGTGTGTATATGTATACACATGCCCATATCTTTTTGCCATGCTGCAGGTTCATTTCTTTCTGGCAGTGACAAGAGGGCATTCATTTCCCTAAGCCAACACCTTTTGTGATAGGACTGTCTGTCTTGTGTAATGACTAAATTAGTTGGTCATTCTTGGAGGTCTTTATAATCTGTTGATGATGAGGAAATAAAAAAGGAAGTATCTGATTAAAATGCAAATTTGAAAGCGTTTAGAAAAGCTTTGGGGAAACAGGCCAATTAAATACTTCTAATTGAAGGGAGAGGATATACAACTCTTGTGAATGATGAAAGCATGCCTTTCCCCATTCAGATGTAGTGTATAAAATGTACTTGAATCTTCAAAGATGGGATTTTCATTGTCTGTATAGCTCTTGTGTTTCTAGAACATGGGTACAGCATTTGTTGCAGCAATGCAGGGTGGGGGTTGTAAATGGTATGTCTTCTGATGCATACATAGTACCCATCCTTTTCTGACACCTTGCCTAAGGCTTAAGCGCTTATACCAAACAGTGGATCTTATATGATGGCTGATTTCTTCTGATCTGCAATGTATAAACTGGCAGAAAATAATATTGTAGTATGTATGTTAAATGGTCGGGAAATGTTCACATTGTCATTCATTCAGTGTTCACATGTCAGTCATTCTCTACTTCAAAAAAAACCCTAGGCTGTATGTTTCCATCAGATCTGATGGATGTATTTATTAGGTAATCAGGTTTCATAGTTATCTAAAGCCCTACTGACCACCTCTGTAATTTACTAGCCAAGAGAGATTTTGCACTCAAATGTGATGCACTGGGCAATATTGCAGTTCTGTCAAAAATCTTTTGCTTTGTAACATAGTATTATGACATCCACTACTTGCTCTTTAGTAAATTCTCAAGTGCCGAACAAAATATCTGGGGAAGTGAAAAGATGCACTGGCTGCAGTTGATACGGAACCTTTCACTTTCAGTACAGTACACTTACAGTGCCTTTCATCTTTGTGTTGTGCTTTTCAAATTATAATCAATTGGTTATTGAGGGGAAAATCCAGAACATGCAATTTAATTTTTTTTTTCATTTAGGGAAGAATGTTATTGAAAGCATCTCTCTGCAGCGTATAGCACCTCTTACTGGTTTCTGCCCCTTTAGTACTCAAATGTGGTTAATTTAGCAAGTGTTGTTTTGAGGAGCAAGAGTAGGAGATAGAACGAGTCTTTTGGGTTAGTATCTCTTTATTCTCAGCCCTTCTTGCGTTCATTTGAGCTGTGCTTTCTTCCATCACAGGAATCACTTAGCTGTCGATTGGTCTTTGTGATGATGCAGTATTGTGTGGCTGCAAACTACTACTGGTTGCTGGTGGAAGGCATGTACCTGTACACTCTACTGGTTCTTTCAGTCTTTTCAGAGCAAAGGATTTTTCGGCTTTATCTCTGCGTTGGCTGGGGTAAGTTGATCTTTCCATATGTCTGCAGTGGCTGCATGCACCAGCAGACTGTATAACAAGAAAAATCATTGTCTTTTGGTTGTAGTGCTGCCCAGTTCAGTCCTGCACTCCCCATTCCCTTTGTGTTTCTGATCCCTTACTTTTTTTGAGCTGGAGGGTGCTGGGTCAGCACAGCTCCTGGATGCTTACACAGCAGAGTCTGTGGGTTCATAATGTAGGGGCTGTGCAGCACTGCAGAAACTCTGCAAACCAGTGACAGGGACATGGTACTTTTCCTGCAAGGCTTCCCAATACAAAATACATGGCGGTGATTCCAGGTGAGTGTGGACTTCCCTGGGCTCCCCTGCTTCATCTCTTGAGAGTTTCCCATTGCATTTGAAGACATAACTACTTGTGGTGCAAAATAGCAATGACACCTTGCATCTGGTCAAGGATAACAGTAGAGAAATGCTGGCAGCATGAGCTAGGGAGGTGTAAAGGGGCTGATAGACAAGGGGCTGCTGGCAGGAGATGTTGGGTTGGTTATGTGGGAACAGCAGGTCAAGTAGTGATTGCCAGGCAAAAAAGTGGTCAGTGTGCACATGCCATGGGCATGTGTGTGCTTGGGATCAAGAACAGTGATGCCATGAAATAAGTTGGTTCAGCCAGAGTCACCTTCAGTAGAAATGCTGAAGCTTTAATTCTTTCACTGTCCAGTTAGCCAAAAAATATGTTACTGTTCAGGATTAATCCTGGTTTTGGAACATCCCTTATGTGCTTTTATTGCATTTTCTCTCTTGCTTTTCTCCCCCCTCCCTTTTTTGGTGGAAATCAAGTGACTTTTGGAAAGCTGAAGGTAAATCCAAGTAAATACTGCAAGTACTTTCACAGATACTAGTTTGAAGATTTAAATTGCTTTGGCTGTCATCTATCTATGGATTTGCCACCTCTGAATATTGTAGCAAATTAGTTCACTGCTAAAATGCATATAAACGGCTTACTGTGAATTACCCAGTGCTACTGAACAGTGATATATGAGGAGCAAAGGCTTTCCAGCTTATTGATGGGAATAAATAAATGCAAGTAATAGCAACTTTCTGCTGGAGAATTTTAGTTTAAAAATTTCTACATCTTCCATTATTGTTTTACATAGGACATACAGGAAAAACAACAGCACCTTGTATACCAGTTTAATCATGTTTTATGAATGGCTGTACCCTCAAAAAAGAAAAAAAAAGGGAGGAAGGGGGATAGGGGAGCTATCCTGAATCATTGACTGAGGTCATGAAAGGAAATGGAAAATTAGAGCAATATTATATCTAGCCAAATCCTGAGGGTATTGTGGTGTCTTATAAGATTTGATCTGAATCACTTCTAGTTAGAGTTTGTTTCTTACAAAAGCAGACAGCAGAAACAGAAGATGCTGGTTTAGTTCTTCCTTTACAATATAAATTTTGTTGAATTTCTGGATGAGTTTGTGGGAATGAGTGGCAATGCCAGAACTTGGCACTGAATAAATGGCTTTCATCCAAGCTTCCTAGAAAAGCTCTGCTTGACCCATTCAATCCTCATCTGTACAGTTTCTTGCTAATCTAGACATGGCTGCATGTGAAAACCTTGCCAGTGATTCTTCATCTTCAAATGCAAAAGGATCTGCTAGTTCAGTGTTCCCAGATTAGTTATACCAGGTAACAGTTTAGTCTCTAAAAGTGGAAAGACACGAAGATTTTTTTTCACTTTCTTGCTTTTTCACTGGTGTTTCCATTTTTTTGGGTGCTCTGGAATCTCACCAGATATGTTTCTGGCATATACAATGCTCAGAATATTTAATTTTTTTGAGCAGCATGATACAGAGAAGTCAGTAGGTTCCTGTTTTTGTTGAGAAAGTACTGCTCTTTGAAATACTTTATCAACTGTAAAAAATAAAGCTGGATCCAAAAATAAATATGTATTTGATTGTCAGAACTGATTTGATACCTGGACCCTTTGTTCTGTTAATGAATTGTTCTCTTAAAGGATAATTTTTAACTTGTTCATTGCTCATCATTTGATGAATATTTATGTTTTAAAATTTCATGTATGTATTCACAAACTTAGTGGGTGTTAGTCATTTCATGTTATTTCTTCTAATTAGAAGTGAAGTTTGTGTGATTGCTCACGGACCATATGGTACTATTTTTGCTGTCTGAATAGCTTCTGTAATCTCCTGTATGACCTTGCACTTGCACTTCTCTCAAATGTACATATGAATAAAACCATGTGTTTTCCTCAAGGCTTTTGTCCACCTGAGTGTTTGCACATACTGTTGGTCATGATGTTTGCCATGTTATGCTTCTTTCAAGAAACAACAGGTCTCAAAACAAACAAGAAACTAGAGCAAATTATTTCCTTGGGTTAATCCCAACCAAAACTGTAAAGCAAGGGCCAGCTTTCAAATAGGTAGAAATGTCCCAATACAATTTCTGTCTAAGCTTTTAAACTGCTATATTAAATAGTGCTTTTTTTTTTTGGGGGGGGGGGGGAGGGTGTCCATGTAATTTTGTCAATAAAAATACTTCTCCCATTTTGTTTAACATGATTATTTCATCTCAGTACAAAACACAGAGCATAAACCTGCTTTTCAAATGGAAGCACGTAAAAGATCATCTTAGTGGCCTTCCTCTGGACTCTGTTCAACAGGTCCTGTGTGCTTATGTTGGGGGCCCCAGAGCTGAACACAGTACTCCAGGTGGGGTCTCATGAGACCAGAGTGGAGTAGAGGGGCAGGATCACCTCCCTCAACCTGCTGGCCTTGCTCCTTTTGAGGCAGCCCAGGATACGGTTGGCTTTCTACGCTGCGAGTGCACACTGAAGCAGGCTCATGTTGAACTTCTCATCAAACAATACACCCAAGTCCTTCTCTTCAGGGCTGTTTGCAATCCAGTCCCCATGCAGCTTGTCTTTGTGCTTGGGATTGCCCCAAACCATGTGCAGAACCTTGCACTTGGCCTTATTGAACTTCATGAGTGTCATCAGCAAACTTAGGGTGCACTTCATCCAGTGCCCATGTCACCAGCAAAGATGCTGAAAAGCACCAGTACCAGTGAGGAATGCAACTCGTCACTGGTCTCCATTTGGACATCAAGTTGTTTGGCACAACTCTCCAGCCAATTCCCCATCCACGGAGTGTCTTATCTGTCAAATCCATCTCTTTCCAGTTTAGAGACAATGTTGTGCAGGACAGTAGCAAATGCTTTGTACAGTTCCATGTAGATGACATCAATTGCTCTTCCCTTATCTACAAATGCTGTAACCCTGTTGTAGAAGGCCACCAAATTGGTCAGGCATTATTTGCCTTTAGTGAAGCCATGTTGTCTGTCAGTAATCTCTTCCTTATTTTCCATATACTTTAGCATAGTTTCCAGGAGGATTTGCTCCATGATCTTGCTGGGCACAGAGATGGGACTCACTGGCCTGTAATTCCAGGTGTCTTACTTTTTTACCTTAAAAAAAAAAAAAAAAAAAAAAAAGGCTGCATCTCATAATGGACTTGTGTGCCTTCAGATTCCTTAGTCTCAGATTTGATCTTCTCCAGTGGGTGGTTCATCGTTCTCCTAGTTCCTATCTTTTTGCCTTCTGTGATTTCAGTGGTGTGTCTGGAGCAATTGCTGGTGAAAACTGAAGGAGGAAAAAAGCCAACAGTATCTCAGCCTTCTCTGTATCCTGGGAAAACCAGGTCTCCTCTTTCCTTCTGGAGGGCCTTATCCATTTGGTCTTCCTGGTCGGGTGTCCTGTAGCAGAACCCCACTGTTATGGCACCTGTCCCTGCCCTCCGTTTAATCCTCTTGGTTGGCTCCTCATCCATTCTTAGGTGGAGCTCCATGCACTCCAACTGGTTGTTGATACAGAGGGCAGCACCCTGCCTTTATCTTTCCTGCCTGTTTTTCCTGAAGAGCCTGTATCCTTCCGTTCCAACGCTCCAGTCATAGGAGCCATCCCACCATGTGTCTGTGATGTCAGTAAGGTTGTAGCCCTGTCGGTATGTGAACATCTGTGGCTCCTTTGTTCCATATGCTACATGTATTTGTTTGGAGGTCTTTAAGTTGGGCACCCAATGAAGCAAACTTAGGCTGGAGGGGCTGGAATTCCTTTTTGCTGCTGTTCAGATGCTCTCCTGCTGACCTGTGATCTCTCTCTATAGGCTCTGGGCATCTCTTGCTGGTACTGGCATCAGACTGGTAGGAGTGGGATAGATTGAGGTTCTCCTTCTCTAATACCTTTAGTTTAAAGCCTTTTCAACAACTTGGCAAGCCTATGACAAAAGATGCTTTTCTCTTCTCTAGCAGATGGATCCCATCAGCCCCCAGTAGGCCATTTTTTCCAAGGTACCGTACCCAATCTGTGTTTTCCTAGGAACAGTTAACAGACAGTGAAGAGTGTAAGGAAAACTTAATAAATATTCCCCAAGTATATTTTTTGCTATATGATAATGTCAGGACAGTTCTTAATGTTATTAGTGTTCCATTTAGTATCAATTCGTATGAGTAATCATTCTTTGCTGCTGAAGTCTTTTATAAGGGGAAAAATCTGTTTATCTTGGGTTATTGTTCTTTGCAAAAACTAGAAAAGTTATAAAATCTTGATAGACCTAAGGGAAGTAATGTAGTTTTACAAAATGGGACTCATTTATATTGATATCATGTATATTGATAGGATGTTATAAACCTTCCTGATTACTTGCAAGGTATGGCTGTAATGGCCACGGCCTTGCTGAGTTTTCATGCCATACTAGGCTTTGAGATGGCACTGTTAAATATTTCCCATTTCATTTCATTTGGAAAATGTCTTGCTTATGTCTTCTTTTTCTTTGTAAAAGCATGCATTTGTTTTAAACCCGAGTTCCACATATTTTACAGCAAAAACAATGGGTTTATGCTATTTTCAAAGCTGATAGGAAAAAACAGCAGAGACAGTTACAGCATCAAACCCCCAAATTTCTAATAGGCTAATGGCTGAACAGGCAAATAAGTTGTTCATTTCAGTCTGGACGTCAGCACAGCAGCAACCAAACAGGATGCTGATTCAGATAGTCATTACCACTTGCAGAAAAAGAATCTGTTGCTATACATTACTGGTACTTGATCTTCCTTACTGTGGCATAAGAGAAATCTTTGCCCGTGGATCTCACCTTCTAGGGAGAACAAAACATTTGCAGAAGAAAGCAACATAACTATGGAGATCAAGATGATTACGTTTTGTTTTGTTTGTTTCTGAGGATGTACAGACTGTTCTTAATCAGGGTGTCCAGGACACCAACTCATCATGTCTGAGCCCGAATGAAGAATTGATGAGCGTGACATTGAATTCAACTAGCCATGTCAGTGGTTTCTAGAAAAGAGTAGTTTGTACTGTAATGCTGCTGATTCAGCAGCATTTAGTGGGGAAAAGGACCTGTTCACATTGAAGTGGGGAGGAGAGGGGAATGGGGGAACAGCAGCAGTGTCCCACAGTGACTGTGCAACTTGCAACATCCAGGCAGGAAGAATGACAGGAGACAGTTTTCAGCACGAAAGGCTAAGAAATTGGTAATAAAAAGCTAAGTGTTGTCTGAACTTCTGTGGCAATTTTACACCCAGCTGCACTTGCAGCAGGGAAACTGCCATTAAAAAAAATAATCCCCTTCTTTTCAAACCTTACAATCCAAATTTTGTCTAAGGAAGAATACTTTGAGGGAATTAAGCCATTAAAGGCAGGAAGCCTAGCTAGGGTGTCAGAATCTACATCCTGATTGCAAGGAAGATCTGACTGGAACAGAGCCAGTAAAAAAAACATTCCTTCTGAAGCCCAGTATGAGCTTAGTGTAGCAATGGGATGCATTCATTGCACAGAACGAATGTTTTCTGTTTTCAAATGAAAACTGTTTCAGGTGAGGATGTGAAAATAGGAATTCTGCCCTCACTGATCTTGGTAGGAAATGCTTGTCAGGAGTTTCTGTTAATTCTTTTGGGATTTTTTTAATACTTTTTGTCTTTTGGATTAAACTCTTATGCCTTTCCTTTCTTTCCTTTTCTCTCACATTTTCAATGCTCTTGTTCTTTCTACATCTAGTCATATTTTTTTATCACTTCTTTTAGCTTCTCATCACATACTGCTTGCATTTGTACATCAAGCACTTAATTGAGTCAGACAATCCTGGAGAGTTTCTGAGAGATGAGAGGATTGGAGTTCTGCTGACAGCAGTGATGTCCTTCTATTTTTTGTGACTGATTCTTTTGGTGGTTGAACTTCTCAGAACATGGAAAACAGTCAGGTTACATCTCAAATATGAGCTTATACACCACCTCAGAAGTCTGCAATGCTGTATTCAAAATATGTTCTTATTTAAGGGTCTCGACAGGATGGCAGTGCTCTGGTCCTGCAGAGATAAATTTATTCATCGGTATGTGAGGATGAGTGGAGCCTGTCTTGCTCCTCATACATCTTTCTTCCCTGAAACTGCCTTTACATAAAATGTGGTATCATGCAAAGCTATAAACACCATGTCTCCAAGAATGGAAACTTGCCTAGACCTTGAGGTAGGGTAAAGAAGATGGCGTGGAATAGTACCACCTGGTGACGCCTTTCATGGTAACAGCTATTTAGTGGACTCCAGAACAAGCTTCATCTTTTCTGTTCTGTTACCAAAACATCTCAGACCCGTTAAACAAAAAGATTGGTTTCTACATGCTGTTCTCAGGACATGGGCTGCTTGCATTAGCAGCTTCACGAATTGCTTTCAACTCTGCTCATTAGGCACAGAGGAGCATTGTGGAAATATCAACCAAACAGTGGTTCCTGTGCATAATTTCTCACAGCTTTCTCTCTTGCCTACCCCATCCTGTTATCATTCTGGATAATGCCAGTTTTAAAACTTTTTTTTTCTTAAGACACTTGGACAGCTGTAGACTCTATAAGGTAGAGTGAAAACGAGTAGTTCGTGCTGCTTATTTATGCAGTTGATGGTGATTTGGCAGTTCTATTACTTTCCCATCGTCTGTAATATGTATTATTATCATAGCCTATAATTCAGATGCCCTGTCGTTTGAAGTTGAACTTTATTACCTGAGCTGTCGGCATGCTTATTTCCTAGTACACTTGATAGATTTCATAATCACCATGTAGCGCTCAAACTTTTTTAGTCAGTTGTCAGCCTGCAAGAATTAACATGGTGGAGGCCTTTACGAGCGGGCTGTTGCAGTTTCTGGAATCTTCAGCAATGATGGAGTACAGGTGAAAGGAAATGTTACTATTTCCAGAATTCAGAGACCTTTTTTTGGTCAGAAAGATCAATCTTAGAGTTTTCTGTATGACAAAAAGCAAAACCAGAAAGAGTTCAGACTGTATCTTAAATAAATGCATCCCATAAATGGGCACAGTTTTTTCTCAAATGTCTGATACTCTTTGAATAGCAGCAGCAAGAAAAAGAGGTGTAGGACTGAAACTGAAATGCTGCATGTTGGGAGTCCAGATTTCTGTCTGAATTGGTAGTCTGAGATGATAGTCATCTGTAGAATTTATTCGAGGAGCTGCATGCAGTTTGCTTTCTCTGCCTGCTCAAGCTGACCAAATTTCTCTTGACTGAGTGAAGTAACCAGAATAATATTTGCATTTGTGCCAGTTAAAGCAGGTTAATCAGGTAGTGAGATTGTAAACTAATCTGTGGAGGGCCTCGGTGATCTTTGCAAACTACAGGTATTGCAGAGATGCTGCAGAGGTTCTCTACTGACGCTGTGAATGACTTCTACAGACTTGAGGTGGAATAGGGGATGTTCTTGGGGCAGTCTTCTCTTTAGATCTTGACTAGGGCTTTGGAAAATTTGATGTATCCTTATCTGATGAGAGAGTGTCCCATGCAGTTTTCAGAGACACACATTTCTTAGGACAAGGCTTTGTGAATTTGGTAGCTCTCAGATGGTGTCCCTGTAGAATTGGCACTGATGTTCAAAGCTTTTAAGTATGTATTGAACTGTTAAGTCTTGATGTCTCAGATTAAAATGTGTATGGCTAGCATGGAAAATAATGTGACTGACAGTGATACAATACCAGGGCACCAAGGGCCTGCATCACATGTAGGAGTGGGTAGAGGGTGTTGAACAAGTCACCTTGTACATGGTGCCTGTTAATTTGTATAACATTTGCATAGCGGGAGGCTGATGCGATTCAATAACACCAGCCTCTCTCTATCTAGGCTCTTGTGAAATATAATGTTAATAATAGATTTTCAATTCAAATGTCAAGTTTGATTAAATGTGGAGATATATCTGATATATCCAGAAGATGAAGATAACCACAAATTGTTATTGTTATCACTTGCTGTATAAGTTTCCTCCAGTGACTTACAGCCTTTGTGCTCTCGGCATTCATGTCTTACCCTTTAAGTTTTATATTAATATGTCTTAATTCTCAGCAAAGTCAAGAAAGGAATAATTCAAACTATAATTAGTTTCTGTGAAACAAAAGCTCATTTGTGTTTGTAAGTGATTCACAATGAGCCTGGTTTTAATCTCTTATGTCACTATCAAAGAAACATGGAGTTCTCAGTAATTTTGCTCCCAAAACATTGTGTATTGTCAGTATCAGGTACATCTATGTAAAACATTCAACCACTTGCACCAATAATCTCTACTCAATTCATTATCTTTACTATTATTCAAATTATTGGTATTTTTCTCTTGATGTGCATATTTTCCTTTTTTTTTTCTTTTTTATCTTTTTCTCTGATTAAGGAGAATACTTTATCTTTCATGTCTGTAGTATTTAGTTGCTCTGATAGTAGAGAAAGAATACAGTACAGAAGAGAAGGTTTTTCCACTACAGATACTACTTGTAGATCTTCAGACAGCAGGAGATCAGCAGTTTCCCTCTGGCTTCTGCTGTCAGGAAGTGTGTATTTGCCCTGTGCCGCGCTTACTGCTACACACTGATGTTCTTATGGTTCCTTGCCATACTGGTACTTAAGAATGCAAAACCAAAGCACATTAAATTTTGCCCTTCCTATCCGATGTACCTATAGCATCAGGCACTATCCAAGGAGGTACATGGAGGAATTAGACCATCTTGATCCATCCTTAGAGAGAAATTCCTCATTGTGCTTGTTGAGTCTCAACCTGCTCTCCTTACCTGTGGGCTTTTTTGGCATTCCCTACATAGAGTATTGGTTGGTAGATGCACTTTAAACTTATTTCTCAAGACCTAGGCATTTCATAAATGAAAGAAATTATTTTGAGAGAGAGCCTTTGACATGGCAAAGCAAGTTATGACTGCCAGCTTATTTGGCTTTTCTCCCCTTTACACCCCAGATAAACTGACCAACTGTAGCACATGCACTGTCAGAAAAGCATTAGGACCAAGTCTTTTCTCACGACCAAATGCATCTGCTGTCTTTGCTGCAGCCACTCAAGTCCATGCCAGTACTGCAGCCCAAACTTGGGACTTCTCTGCAGGGGAGGCCTGAACACACATGCTATGTGTCGTGTGCCCACACTCCCCTTTGCCGTCAGGGGTACACGGGCCTGAGTGTGTTCCAGCCCCAATCCCAAGAAATGGCCTGAGCTTAGTGCTTAACCACAAGCAGGAATGTGGATGTAAAGATTTGGGTTTGGGAGCACACCATACTCCTCTCTAGCATGAATATAGAGGCTAGCAGAGCTTCCAGAAATTCTGTTTCCTTGGCCTCCCTGTGAAACAGAAAATCTGGTATATGCTGAGTATGAGGGTGATTGTCTCAGTTATTTTTCATGCCTGTTAGGAGTTAGGTGGGGGTCCAGGCCAAATGAGTTATATGCATTAGTTACTTGCAGGTTAGATTCCTTCTCCCACCATTGACGGCCATCAACGGGTAGGAGCTGCAACCCTGCCCTGTTGCTCATTATTGTGGGGGGTAGAGAGGGGTTGTCCTCCTCTGTCCTTTTACCTGTCTCTTAATGGCAGTGTCAACCTTGTCTCCTCTTTTCCCAGGTGTGCCAATGCTGTTTGTTATCCTCTGGGGAACTGTCAAGTACCTTTATGAAGATGAGGGGTTGGTTTAGTTCTGATTTTTCTAGATGTCTCATTTGTGCTGTATGTGTGCATCAGCAGGTTGTTGTTCGCTTTCTGTTTGGTGTGGTTTGCTTTGGCAGTGTGCTGAAACCTCACATAATTGCTTCTGTTTTGTCTGAAGGTCTTGCATAACATTTCAGAAAGGAGCATATGTTTGTTTCTGATCAGAATTTTCTGCATGTCTGAATGAATCTATCTTTTTGCAGGTCAAGGAAAGGTATGTTTTGTTTTTCTGTAGTTACAGTATCAACAGTAGAAGTCATTGTACCCAACCAAGACCACTTCTCATACTGTGCCTTTGGCAGTAGCCTTTACAGTTATGCTTCAGAGGAAGGCAAAAACCTCCCACAGGATTCTGCCTGTGATTTATAGTGGTTAGCTTATGCCTAGCAGCAGAGATATGATTGCTTGTTCTTGTTGAAGCTTCCATTATTTAGATCTTCTTAAAATAAAGGCACATTCTCTGTCTGCTTAAGTTAATCTTGCTAAAGTCAACTATACCATACACATGACTGCTGCAAAACACAAAATACTTGTCATCCATACTGGCTAATCTGAAAGTTTGCCTTTATAAATGCTTTATATACCAAATAGCATTGTAGTTTGTTGCAGTTTAAAAAAACAAGCAAAAACCCCAAATAACCAACCAACCAAAAAAGAAAAAACAAAACAAACAAAAAACCCAAAACAACAACCAAAAAAAACCCAAAAGGAAGGAGAGTAGTTTCCTCTTCTCAGTGATTGTGACTGCCCGGAAATATTTGGGTAACTTTCTTTGTAATGAAATAAATAACTTTATGCTACTTCCTTTTTATTTTAAATGTACTACTTATTGGGTCTTCCTCTTAATCAGTTTCCAAATAACCCAGCCAGCACTTTTGTAGAGGATTGCTTTTATTTTGGTTTTTTTTGGGTAAGGTGTGGGGTGGGTCCTTTTTCCCTTCCTCTCTCAATGCAATCATTGTGGGAGACATGCTGCAATGTGAAAATTCAGAGCCAGCTCCAGATTGTTTTCTGTTGTTTGTATTAAGAACTGTTTGTTTTTTTTCAGTGCCTTTCATAATGCTGAACCCATTAATTCAAAACTGCCTTTCCTTGCTTAAGCAATGGTAGGATTTTCTGATTTTCCTTTTCAAGGTTGACTTGATAATACTCTATAGCAAGATTGTGGCCCTACTCATGTAGTGCAAGTTTTGTTGAAACTATCAGAATAGGTATAGAGAACATGCAGCCTCTGAACAGGCAGTGTTCCATGGTCTTCCCACTGATGTAGAAAATGTATTCAAGGCACTCATGCTGAGCCTCCTACATTATGCGGTGCTCAGATCTGATTTATGTTTTCTATTAAGGAAAACTGTCACTCACTGCCTTCAGCGGACCTTAAAAGGGGCAATTTTGCACCTTATTGAATTTTCTAAATCTTGTATAAATATTTGTAAAATACAGCAATAAACAACCACATGCAGCAGCTTCTCTGAAAGGCAAGATTTCTGTGCCTTTGGGCAGGCATTTGCTTGAGCAGCCAGGGATATCTTTCATGCTGTTTGCTATAGCGCTGTCACCAGGGACGTGCAGCAGGCTGTAAATTTCATTTGTGAGTTACCTGCTTCCCTGGCTATGAGAAATAACTGGAAGTAAATGTGGTCAGGGCTGGGAATCTGAGGCAGTCCTGTGAACGCAGCTATTTGAATGAAGGACTGAAGCCTGCAAGACTCATTAGCAGGCTGGCTCCTTCTTTCCTTATGTGTATGTGCAAGTGTAAACTCCTTTAGAAAGCAGTTGGTGTGTTAAAAAGTAAGCTGTTGAAAAAAACTTTGTCTCCATTAAAGGTAAAATGAAAGGCAAGCTGTGCTTCTTAGTTATTGGGCTGTGCCTAAAGAGCTGATACTTACACATCTTTATTTCTATCTGCATTTAATTATGGGAGCAAGAGAGCCTACAGTCCTTTTAGAAAAAATGAGCCATTCAGCTGTAACTTTTCAAGGTAAAAATTCAGTGGTTTCATTTTTAGAAAAAGAATACCAGGTTGGTAAGCAAAGGCAGAAACTTCCCAGTAGCATTTATTTTACTGGACCAATTTTCCATTCACAGCTCTGAGGCTATTAGTTGCCAAGCATCTTTTGAGTAGTGCTGAGCAAACTGCAGGGCTAGATCCCAAACACAATAGATGTTGATAGATTTATCAGTGTATCAATCCCAGAAAGCACAAATGGCCAAGAAATCATGTACAGATCTATCAGTTTCATTTTCTGGACACTTTCATAGCCATGACACTTTAATTGGGCTGTAATGGCATTTTTATTGCATTTATTTATGTAAATATAAAAGCTAAAACTGCTCTGTGCCACAGGAAGCAAATTAATACACACAGAAATGTAGCAGAGTTAATGTAAAGAATCATTTCTCAGCCTCCGTCATTATCAGGAAATGTTAAAATTGCCTCTGCTTCCGCTGCAGCTAGTGAGAAAATTAGAACTTCACTTCCAGCCATGCCTATTATCCTGCCTGTCTTGAGGGGTTCAAATAAAATTAATTAAAAGGCTCCATGAAGCTGGCTCCCAGTCACGTGTACCACTTAAGAAGTTCTTCTGTTACTCAGATCCCAGTTCAGGTATGCTGACTGTACACAGTACATACACCTTTTTCTCCAGTATTTAAAATACAATTGAACTTCTGGAGCTACTGTTTGCAATAATATGTTTGTTACATGCATTAAACTGAAATTAAAAGGAAAAATGAAATCCTGAACCCTTCTCAGGCTTGAAGTGTCTGCCAGGGAATATGGAATTGCCGTTGCCAAGTTGCTTCGCTTTCCTCTCTAGGATGTGAGCACATGGATCCCTACCATGTGTGGCCTGGTTTGCTAGTTTCTTTCAAGTTGACTGTCCCATTATAAGGCTGCAGAAGGTTTGCTCTCCACAAACATCACCCAAGCTGAAGTTTCATAGTCCTGTTAAGAAACCTAAAGGAAAATTGAGCATATTTATGTTTTGGAAGATGAGATTTGGAGATGAAGAAAAACTTGTTTTGTGAAGGAATTTACGTTTTCTGTAGTGCTGTTGCATAGTTTTATGTTTTATAGACTGTAGCTCAGAAACTTGCTAGCTTTACTGATGTAAGATGCTAGCTTTTTGAGTAATAACTGACCAATATGGCAAGAAGCTAACAAAGTTATTTCATAAAAATATTAAGAATATTGTGGCTGCAGCAGCAAGTGAAATGGTGTGTGAACACTGCCCCAACACCTAGGCCCATCGTACAGTCAGGGGGGCAGGCTGTGGCCAAGGAGGGACCTTAAAGAACTAGATGTATAAACCCCCCAGTGTAAAGTTCACTTTGAACCAGTGATCCCAAGCTGTGTCTTTGAGGCATTACTTTGCTTGTGATTGTTCTCCAATATTGCTCAACAATGCAAGAATCTAAAAAGCTGAAATGAGACTTACAGGGATAATGAAGCATGCAGCATGTTAGTTACTTGGCAGAGGGCTCAGCTGGCCAACAAAAGTTGGGAACTATTGTTCCTATCTTTGATTTTACTTGCTTATAACATTTAAAACTCCATTTGGGCCTGAAACCTGTAGATACACTGTGAAGGAACTGGAGTATGCTGCCTTAATTGCTTTCTCCTGGGTGAAATTAGTAGATCCTTTTTGAAAATAAGGGCAAATAAAATAGATGACTGATTTAAGTATTGATATAAGAGAAGTGATGGTAGGTATGGGATAATGTAATAACAAACAGTTAAATAAGATGTCTTGGCAGTGGAGACTGAAAAGTAGTAAACGATAATGCTGGAAGAGGAGAATAGGAACCACGCAGGAAAGGTCTGTCTCAAACAGGTTCCCCCCATTTCGGGTTCCTTTCAGCCACATGACAAATCTAACCTTGATTTTAGTGGAGTAAATCTTCACAATTAATGGATGATAATTCATAGCCATTAGTGGACAAGAAAGGCTCATGACTAGTATCCAGCTGGATTATGATAGCTTCAGTAATACAAAGCCTTCACTGCTTCTTAGAAGCAACTGCATCTGTTTCCATGTCAGCATGATGTGCTTCCCTGGTATCTAGTCCTCAGTATTGTTCTCCATCTGCCTTGCTGTGACAGAATGAAAAGTGGGAGATTTTAGCAATGTTCTGAAACTTCTTCTTCCTGTCTCCTTTTTTTTTGACACCTTCCTAGGTGCTGGACCAGAAATTATAACATGAATTACTGGTTGATCATCAGGCTGCCCATTCTCATCGCCATTGGGGTGAGTATGGAGCACATGCATCAAGCTGGCAGATTTCCATGAGAAAAGAGCACAAAGAGCAGATGTGTACATGGCTGTTGTGTATGTCCAAAGGCTCATAGTAACCTCTGAGGATATTCACATTTTAATTCAGAAATGTGATTTTATGAAACCAAACTGGTTTCTGTCACTGGAATTCTCAACTAGCATTTTGTTTCTTTAATTTGGCCACAACACATGTTGTAGTGGCAGCACATGATAACAAAACAGCATGATGCAGCAATCCAGTTAACTTCCCCATGTACAGGAAGCTATGGCAGGTAATTCAGGGAGGAAGAAGATAACATTCCAGGTACTGGGCTACAGAAGAGCAACAAATTGTGGCATTATGGAGAAATGCCATACTCTGCAGCCACAATACTGTGTCAGTCTCAGACCTCCAGACAAGGCAAATGGGACAGAGACACCTTTACTGTATCTCACTCCCCAGAGATATAGGTGAGATCCCCTGCTTTGTTTAGTGAACTGCCTATGTTTTCAAAGGTGACTTGTGCATTCGCAGAGGGTATCTTCAGAGCATAATACCTTGGCAAGGAGTTGAGTTCTGTAGCAAATTCTGCAGCTGCAGCATAGTAGGATACACAGGGACCTACACGTGCATCCACAAAACAGCTTTTTTGAACATGTTTCTTGATGTTAATATAAATCCTTCTTTCATTTTTCCAGGTAAATTTCCTGATTTTTATCAGAGTGATATGCATCATCATCTCCAAACTACAAGCTAATTTGATGTGCAAAACTGACATAAAATGCAGGTATGTCAAATATTGTCTGACATTTTTTTGTGCCCATCAAAATGGAAGACAAATGGTAGACAAAGAGGTACATGAAAGGAGTGAATTGGCAGAAGTGGTTAAAGATCACAGCTCTTGAGTGGTGTGCAGGTGTGATGTCACACATTTGTATGGCTGCTTGGACAGTCAGTCCCCAGGAAAGGGTGCTGGTGAAGCCAGGGCAGGTGTTCTAAACAGAAGGCTTGATTGCCAAGTTTGTCACTTTACAATCTTCCATAATACTGGGTGAATACTTATTAAGCAGAGTTTTTTTTTCTAAGACTTGTAGTATATGCAAATAGTGGATGTGAATGTCCTTGGATGTGTTCAGAGAAGGGCAACAAAGCTTGTGAAAGGGCTGGCAGGAATGTCCTGTGGGAGTGGCTGAGGTCTTTGGAATTACCTAGTTCAGAAAAAATGAGGCTGAAAGGAGATCTCATTGTCCTCTACAGCTTCCTGAGGAGGGCAAGTGGAGAGGAAGGTGCTAATCTCTTCTCACAGGTATTCAGTGATAGGCACTGTGGGAATGCCTCAAAGTTCTGTCGGGAAGTTTAAACTGGACATTTTGAAGCATTCTTTTACCAAGAAGGTGGTCAAACACTGGAACAGTCTTCCTCAAGACTGGGTCAATGCCCCAGGCCTGTCAATATTTAAAGAGGCATATGGACAATACTCTTGATAACGTGCTTTAACTTTTTGTCAGCCTTGAATTACTCAGACAGTTGGACTAGATGATTGTTGTTGGTCCCTTCCAAATGAAACAAACTATTCTATCCTATTCCAATTTGAAAAAACTAATATGAGTGTTATATTATTATTACTGTTTTATAGAAATTGAGGCTTTCTCTTCAGTGAAGAGCAGGCTGGGTAATTTTGAGCGTTACTCTTTGTTCTTCTTGCCAGTTGTTATTGGGACAAACTTTCAATCTTGAATGCATAGAATGTTTCAAGAGAGATATCAAGGTTATCAGAGAAATGATCAATTTTTATTTTGTAGGCTTCACCATGTTAATCCGTATCCTTCCTGGTTTTTAATCACCTTGCTGAGATTCATGGTCACATCCCTCATTTCTGAATCTTTCAGAACACTTTTGTATTGCAGTCTCAAAAATAATATAGAAATAACTAATTAGCTATTGAATTAACCAGTTTGGAGCTACATGCTGTGGTTGCTGGACTTTACTGCTGGTTGACTTAAAGTTGGGTATTTCAATGCTGCAGTCTTCTAAGCTGGACATGCGTGTATTTTAGTACATTCTTATCAGAGAATAGAGTTGCCTTTGTATGTTACCTACCTTCTTTACCTCGTGAAATTTTGGAAATCCTAATGCACTTTAGACCTTAAAACAGAGTAAAGGGCACTGCTTTCATGCCTGTTCTTTGGCGGATTTTTTACTATGTGGTCTTTATATGCCAGGGTAAAATTTGCAGTGGTGGAAGGGGGGGATTTTCCATTTCTGATGGCCTGAAACCATTTACAAGTCTGACTGTAAATGTACAGGGAGGGCTTTCTTCTGTGCCCTCTTGACTTCTGCAGGCAGCAGGAAGGTCTAATGCAGGTGAGCCATTTCTCAGAGGTGTGTGTTCATTGATTTCTTCATGTTGCATGTTCAAAAATCTTTATTAGAAAGGATTTACCAAGCACAAAGCCTTCACTGATGAAGAGTATAGTCTTGGTGGTCTGTCCAGAAGACGGTGGTTATAGCCAGAAGCTTTGGAGAAAGTCATTGGTAAGCTTCTGACAATAACAAGACCAGTAGTCAGAGATTGCTGTATCAGAATTCCCCTTCCCCTCCTCTTTTTATGCTCAAAAAACACTGGAAAAGAGTTTTGGTGGAGAGAAGACTGAACTGCTATGCTCGAATGTGTTATTTTAAGCAAGGACAAGTCTGGGTGCCCTAGAAAGACGCTAAGCTAAGATACGTTTATGTATAGAAAGGAGAAACAAGTTCTGCTCTCAGGCTAGTCTTTCCTTCACCTCTCTCCTGTTGCCCATTCATTTGACAGAGAGTGCTCACTGTTCAGTATGGTAGCAAGTCCCTTTTCCTTATAGAAGGAAAGAATTGTGAAGAAACTTCTTGCCTTGTTCAGGGAAAATATTTTCTTTAGGGAGGTCTTAATTACCTAGGAAGTCTTTTCATAGACTTTGCATGGTTTCCTGTTTAAGGCAGAGTTCTCCAAGTATCCCATCTAGAGTAAATGGCATGCATTAAATAAACCAGGGGATTGCTGTGCACCTGCACAACTCACTGGCGGTTCTGGAGGTGTCTCCAGAACCAATTCAGCAGCAGGCTTCTGCTTCTACCTCTATCTCAGGCAGGTGGTGGTGGAGCAGAGCCTCTATCGCAGGAGTTGCTGGTAAGCTGCTCATTTAAACAAGTTTACTATCCCAAATGCAGTGATTTGTCTAGCTCCGCTATAGATCTGCATTTCTGCTTACCTGTGCATGTAAACTGTTGAATTTCAATAGTTGCTTTGATTCACTATCCTTTAGTCCTTGTGTATCAAAGACATTGGCAAGCCAGTGGATGGAACAAGAGGAGGCACTGTGGCAGCAGTGAGAGTGGGCAGTTGGCTATAAAGACACCAGAAGCCAGCAGTGCCCCCACCTCTCTTGCACCAAAGCCTGAGGCTATGAATAGGGACCTTGACTCACACCACCCAGAGGAGTGCTCAAAATCGCACATCTCTTCTCCCAGTCTGATCAGTCTGAGTCTTACACCTGGTATGTAGTAACCCCATACAGCAGTACAGAATGGGCACTGACTGAGGAGAAAGCAACTTAATGGAAGACCCAGGGATGCTTTCATTATCCTGTTGGGTGGCTAGCATGTATGTCTATCAAAAGAGAGTTAAGGACCATTCTCATGAATGTTTTCCTGTGGTTGTATCCCTTAGCATTGCTCTCTCAAGTGAGAAATGTTTTATTTCAGGTTGGTTTGTCATTTTTCCTTTCCTAGCTGTGTCTTTGAACTTGCCATTTAAATCATGGAGTTATCACTCACTTTAAGACAGTTTAACTGCTTTTACAAAGTGTTCTGCAGTTACGGTTTGTTACAGTGTCCTAAAGATTTAACACACCACAGAGGTGCGAAGGAACAGCAAGTACTCCTCCCTTTGCTACAAATTTTTTTTTAATATTCCGATTATTAATAGATTTTATCTTTCAGGCCATCAATAAGGTAGGTTTTGGTCATCTTTCCTGCTTACAAATTGGGAAAAGGATACACAAGAAGGCATCTCAAGTACAAGAAAGCATGTGGCCTCCTGCATTTGAAAGATTTTCCAGGCACAGCTACAGGTTGGGCAGAGAAGAGATTCAGAGCAGCCCTGTGGAGAAGGACTTAGGGGTATTGGTTGATGAGAAACTTAACATGAGCCGGCTTCAGTGTGTGCTCGCAGCCCAGAAAGCCAACCGTATCCTGGGCTGCATCAAAAGGAGAGTGACCAGCAGGTTGGAGGGGGTGATCCTGCCCCTCTGCTCTGCTCTCGTGAGACCTCACCTGGAGTTTTGTGTGCAGTTCTGGTGTCCTCAACATGAAAAGGACATGGAACTGTTGGAACAAGTCCAGAGGAGGGCCACGAGGATGCCCGGGGACTGGAGCACCTCCCGTATGAAGACAGGCTGAGAAAGTTGGTGCTGTTCAGCCTGGAGAAGAGAAGGCTGCACGGAGGCCTCATAGCAAGCTTCCAGTATCTGAAGGGGGCCTATAGGGATGCTGGGGAGGGACTCTTCATTAGAGACTGTAGTGATAGGACAAGGGGTAACGGGTTCAAACTTAAACAAGGGAAGTTTAGATTGGATATAAGGAGAAAGTTCTTTACTGTGAGGGTAGTGAGGCACTGGAATGGGCTGCCCAAGAAAGTTATGATTGCTCCATCCCTGGTAGTGTTCAAGCCCAGGTTGGACAAAGCCTTGGGTGACATGGTTTAGTGTGAGGTGTCCCTGCCCATGGCAGGGGGGGTTGGAACTAGATGATCCTAAGGTCCTTTGCAACCCTAACTAAGGGTTATATAATAACCCACTAAGGTTATTTTGAGGGATTATTTTTTTTTCTTTTTTTTTCCTGCCACCTTTTGAGGAGGACCCTGCAACACAAAGTGGTGCAGTGACTTACCAGCGTTGACAGTGTGTCAGAAGTAGAATGCAGAAACTGTGACTCCCAGTGATTGGGATCAACAGTGATCTACTCAGTGGCATCATTTTTTTTCTTTCTTTGTGATTTTAGGCTGGCCAAGTCTACATTGACTCTGATCCCGCTGCTGGGGACCCATGAAGTCATCTTTGCTTTTATTACTGATGAGCATGCCAGAGGGATGCTGCGCTTTGTGAAGCTTTTCACTGAACTCTCCTTTGCTTCTTTCCAGGTAGCAGCATCATGCCCATATACATAAGATATTTTTTAACTGCTCTTTGGGGACCTGCTTTCTCTCTCATTCATTGCATGTTCCCTGTTCTTTATATTTCTCAATTTAGTGCTGGATATTACAGGATTATGACAGTGGGAGGGAAAATATGAGGACTAATTTTTAATAGCCAACTTACATGTTAGTGTCATGTACTCTTGTGTCTCAATGTTCTTAAATTGACCACAACAAATTGGTATTCCTATCCACGTATTAATATCTACTTCCTATGGGACACCTCAAGGCAATAATGAAATTGTCTGTGATTTCCTGTAATTGTATAATGGCATTGCTGAAAGCAGATTTTGTGCTTTCTCTAGTGTTTTTGATACTCCCTGGAAAATCTGTGCTGTAAGAGGTAACTATCTACAGCTGTAACTGCATATGAGGAGGATGTAGGTTTACTGTTTTTTTTTTTTTTTTTTTTTGTAGCTATTGCCTTAGGTAAGGCCATTTCAAGAGTCGCCTTGTCTAAAGCAATCATTGTTCTAGTTTCTCTGCTCACCCACTCATTCCCTTTTATTAAGCACAAAACTGTATTTAAGATCACCATGAATTATTCACTTACAAAGTGTTTATAACTTGAAACCAGGTAAGGAAAAAGAAGGGGAAAGGTATCTTTAGAAAAAAATAACTGGTTGAAGAAACATTAACATCTTCCTCCCAGTATTGTGCACTTTGAGACATAGTTCTGTCAAATCTCTCATCTGCCATCAGAGCTGGCAGGGACCAGAGATTGTCTCCATCCTTCAGTCTTCTATGAGACATGCCATTGTGGAGCTTCTAGCCCTCTGCAAGTTTGTTTGGCAAAGTGATGGAATTGCACTGCTCACTGCTGTTCTGTTTTTTGTTGATTTCAGGGGCTGATGGTTGCAATTCTCTACTGTTTCATCAATAATGAGGTAAGACACACTAGGTGTTCAGTTTGCCTTATCAGCATCCACTGTAGGGAAAGAAAACTGAAAATGATCTTGAACTGCCTAAATTAGCCTTGTTCAGGACTTTCATTTGTTTTACAAACCCACCTCTGTACAGCTACACAGGATAACTCCTCAGACAAATGTTTATGGAAAGAATTCAGGCAGTATAATTTAGGGCCACTATTTGTAGACATGAAATCTTGCAAATTGTCTTGCTCACAATTGTGTAGTTTGCACTGCTGAAGCTTTTATTTTATTAAGAATTATAGCTGCTTTTCTTAATCTGTGTCATAGTCCTTCTTACTTACTTGTTTTGGGGAATGTGGAAGTAGAGCCAGTTTTATTCTGAGAACTCAGCTCAGACAAGACTGATGAGGTGGGGGAGTCATCTTGACTAATGCCTGTACAATTTGGTTCTGTCTGATCTTTCTTGTGGCCCAGCTACTTGAAGACATCACTGCTCTCTCATTCAAACCGAACTTCATGGAGTGGTGAGCTCACCCGCACGTCCAGAAGAAATTCAGCTAGGGCTTTGAGTTAATTGATTGCGAGTATCATCTTCTATGGCTTCTGCTGAATCCCAGCCCTGTTGAGGGAAAGAGTGTTTTTCTGATTTACTACTGCAGGAATCTCTCATGTTCCCTTGCAAGTGATTATTATTATTCTTCATTCAGCAGCCAGGTTTGCAAGGCAAGCAAACACTACTAATTTGACAGTACATTAGTAAGTTTACTGCACATCAATGTGTTTTACACTCATGCTAAATCTACTCTACTAAGTCTACTGAACATGGCACGGTAATTCAGTCACCTGTTGAGAGATGAGCCTCACCAAGGAATTTGAATCAATGGAATAATATTCTACTCGTGTCATTATGGCCAGGCTGAAGTCAACAGAAAAGCAGTGGGCATCCTAAATTAAGCCCTTCAGGAGACTGCTCACTTCTGTAGTTTGTGGGTAAGATTTTGTTTAAGTTGATGTGTTAATCGTACTGCTTATGAAAGTCAGAGGTGCGTAGCAGCAGGCTCCGCCCAAGCGTGATTAGGAGAATATTTGTTTCAAATTCCTTGTACAGCTTTACAGGTGTACTTTAATCCTGAAACGCAGCACCGTCTGCTGGTGCATCATGTATTTCTTTTGATCACTCTGGCCTTTGCTCATACATTCCCTATGCAACTGCAGCCAGGCCTCTCATGAGTAATGCCCAATCAGTCATTTCCTCCATGTGATACAAGGGCAAAATTACATCATAGCCCAAACTTTATTACAAACCCTGAAACAAATAGGCTTGTTTCATTTGAGGGAACTTACTGTGAAGTAGCCTACCTACATTTCTAAGAGGTCCTCCAAATCTTTTGTTGCTATAGTTCTTTTGTCTTTGTAGTAATTCATAAAATCTAACCACAGTGTTAGTGTTAGCTCAGCTTCACAAAAGGCTGACAGACAGTCTAAGATTAATTATTTTTGCTTTTTCCAACCCTTGCTAAAAGAAAGGAGGAGGATTTTGTCAAGTCCAGTCATCAGCATCCATAAAATAAATCCATGTAAAGAGTTTGATTATGTCAAGGCTCTTCTATTTCTTTCCTAAACTATATGAGAAATTTTTCTAAGCTAAATGAGAAACTGTTTTTCTTCTGACAGACTATATGTACCTGAAGACTACCCTTGTTTGCAATATGGTCTGTTTTTATTTTTGTCTGTGACTTACTTTTTTTTTTCCTTAACCATACAGAATGAAAGATTTTTACAAGTTCTGGTGCTAGATCAAGGGTAGAAATAAAGTTAGAATTTATATTAATATACTTTTCTAGTATCTGCTTATGCAAAAACATTAAAGTATGTTCATATTTTAGTCATATTTCACTGGAAAGATTCTAGGATTTTCACTGATACTGCCAATAGCAGCATCTCATCAGATTGTCAGTCTGATCACCAATGTTATCTGCAAAATAAGATGGCCTTAATATGACCAGTTTTTCTGCAATTAGAGTTGCTTTCTGTAAGATATATTCTAAACCGCTGCCTCTTTCCACATGAATTAGCTTAACCTGGTTCAGGTTTCATTCTTTGTAGTCTTCCTATTGCAATGGAAATACACTTCACTCTTCTACTTTAAAGAATCTGTGCTGACTCCAGGACTTCTGATTTATTTTTTTTTTTTTTAATTACTGCCCAATCTTCTCTTTTTCTTTTAATTTCTTTTCATTCTCTATACTGACCATCCATTGAACTCCTCCACCACCTCCATTCTATCCCATTTCAGACCTACTTTCCTTTCACTATGATGAGTTTTTCTGCTGAAGTTTTGTTTGGTTTTGGTTGTTTTTTTTTGTAATTGGAGTATGGATTCATTGCCATACTCCCAACACCCTTGCCCACTAGCTGCATTAAGCTCAATCAGCTGCTCTCTGTGAGAAGTCTTCTGTGTCTTTAAGCTCCTTGACCATCTTTTCCGAGTTCTCATACCTCTTCCCTTTCTCTTTCAAAATACACTATATAAAAATTTTCCTTCCCCTTTCTTGTGAGAGCCTTGTTCATGGTTCCCTTTTCCCTGCAGAGCTTATTTCTGGGGCCTCTAACCCACTCCTGGAAGTTACTAGGCTAATTATTTTGCTGAAAGATCTGTAGATCTACTTCTGTGTTCAAGAATTGCCTCTTCAGAAAATAATTCTTAACTTATTCCCTCGGTCATTCACAGTCTAAGACAAAACTCAATTCAACACAGACTGCAGAGCTGCTCTTTACCTTTTTCCTATCCTCTAGAGAGAAAACTAATATTCTGTTATTCAGATCAATTCCTAAGACAGATTCATTCCTATAGTCTTTTGCTCAGGTCTTCCCATTCACTTCATCTCAGCATTGCAGGCTATTTATATCGTAGTTCTAGGATACAGCCTGTCATTCCAGCCAGATTGAAGACTCATTTCCTCCCTTTGACTGATTCTAAGATACCTATTTCTATTGCTTATTGACTTAGTCAGCAAGTATGTTTATACTTGCTTTCAGGATCTGCCTGTAAATGTCTACACTGTTTTTTTCACAGTGCTGACTACTAAACCAACTACTTTCCATGGCCTAAAAAGGTATCAAGTATTGGGGTGGTAATACAGTCAGTTCTTCTCCTGCAGATAGTACGGTCCCTGCATTTCAGTGTTTACGTTTTTGTCGCACTGTTGTCCGTCGTTCTTCTGTGCCAAGCTATCCCAGACACACTCTCTTTTTCTGGTGTCTTTGTGCAGCTTTTGACACGAAAGCCCTGAGTTATGGTAAAATACAAGGGTCTATCTCGGCATCTTCCCTTCTGTCCCATTTGGTTGTGATACCGGAGAAACAGATTCCATTGTCAAAAATGCAGAGGTGCAGCTGTTTCCCACCAAGACATTATTCAGGACAAGGGCTGTAGTCCAGAGCTTCTACTGCTAGAAGTAACCACCAAGGGAAGCCAATAGAGTGTGTAAGGTTCTGCTCCTTTTTTAGGGTGGCCTTCCAGGTTCACTATTTCACAATGAACAAACAGAGTAGACAGACATACCGCAGCCGGTTCTCTAGGAGGTTTCCCCTCTGAGAATAAAGGTTTCAGGAACCTGGATATGATGACAAGCCTGTGCTGAAACACCCATCAACCCATTTAGTCTCTTGATGGTCAGTAACAGACCCTACAAGGAAACAGAAAGGAACGCTGCAGAGAAGGCTCACTTTACAGGCCCTCTTGTAGTGAACTTACTTCCAGACTAAAGTACATACTATAATGAATTGATTACTGTAGTTGTACTCCTGCCTTTCCCTGGAGTAAAAAAAAAAGGTTCCATTTTATGTCCACTGCCTTAATATGTTAAAAGCTAATGGAGATTCTTACTTCAGTCAAATAGCAAGAACTTTGCCCACGGAACAGGAAGACCTAAATTCTGTTCTTGTTTAGCAGGTGCAAGACCCTGGATAAACTTCCAAATGAGTACAGAGGTTACACAGTTTAACCCAGAACTTGTGACTGGATGAGCATATTCTGTAGCTTTTAAAAAAGCTGATATCTAGAACAAGATATTGTAAGTGCTATTTAAAAATGAGGGGAAAAGTACAGTCTTTAATGTGCTTGATTGTTGGTTTTTCAATTCTGAATAAATCTTTAATTTTTTATAGAATACAAGCCTCTGTATATATTCAAAGAACAAAAATAATCTAAGACTTAATACTGTTTAAATCAAACCAAAAGTTAAAACAGAACCCTTAAGAATACCTGTAGTGACAGTACTGAGCAGGAATCTGGTCTTTTCAGTCATTTCCTGGCTGATAAGCAGTCAACTTAATTGTTAGTACTGGTAGGGCATAGAGTACATTCAGTATTGCAGCTGAATACAATTTAGAATAAAATAATGAAGGTAAGATTTCCTGGTGCATAAAAGAGCTTTATTTCTACAAGTAAAAGTGAATGCTGTCATTGTTTTAAACATGAAATACCCTATAATGGACTAATGAGATAATTGGATAATTTGAAGCAATAATATTGCAGGTTTGAAGCATTGCCAGCTTTTTTCAGTAGTATGGTATCTTTATTTTCATCTCACTGCTTTTTTTTTTTTTTTGAGTCATTTAAAGATCTGAAGTCCTGTATTCATTCCTTTAGTTTCCTTATTTGTTTCTGTTAGGTTCAGATGGAGTTTCGGAAAAGCTGGGAGCGCTGGAGATTGGAACATCTGTATGTCCAGAGAGACAGCAGTATGAAACCTCTTAAGTGTCCAGCCAACAGCATCAGTAGTGGAGGCACGGTAGGCAGTACTGTCTACGCTGCCACATGTCATGCCACGTTCAGCTAAGATTTCTGCAGGTGAATGAGACTGAGAACAATGGACTGTGTAATATAACTGAAAACCATTATCCAAGCAAGTGGCTTACGTATGCCATCTCCAGCAAGAAACTTAAGTATATGCTGCTTATTGCCTGCAGGCTGTTGGACAAAGGTTTTTAGGGAAAGCAATCTGCTAATGTAATCAACACATCAGAGGAAAAATTGATCATGTCTAAAGTAAGTTAAAAGAGATCTTTCTGTTTGCACATAAGGCCTCCAGGTGTCCAAAACTCTTAAGCATAGCATTGATCCAGTCTCAAAGCATGGGGTCAATGGCTTATTACTGTTGAGTGGGCAAGCTGAGTGATTGGTTAAATTACAAGAATAGAGTATGATTATTGCCAAAAAGTACATTTAGACTTTTATGGGTTAGGATAAGGTGTAGCACCATTTTTTGGACAGAAAAACAAACAAACAAACAAACACACACCCCCCCCCCCCCCAAACCCAAACCAAACAAACAAAAAAAAAAAGAACACAAACAAAAAAGCCCTACCACAATACTCAGTGGGACACAACTTGTGTGTTAGGGGAAGAATCAGTTTTGTAGTAAGTTTCCCAAAGCTAAAGTTGAAGATGATGCTTACCTGTTTTCTCGGTAGATGAAGAACAGCATTGTGAAGGTCTCTCAGTACAGCAGGTAGCATGGCATACATTTCTGAATTATCTTTTTAAGCATCACTGGAAAATAAATAAACCAAACCAACTATGTGGTAGGGACCTCTTCTGCTATTAATAAGTGTCCATTGTCTCTATTCACATGGGTGGAAATAGCCCCTGAATGCACAGCTCTTGTTTTTACATGGGCTCTCTGTAAAAGACCTGGCACACAGGTGTGAGCAGGGACAGGAGAGTGACTTGTGGTTCGAGAGGACATTTTCTAAGCTACACGCTGTTTTTTGTGGGTGCAAGCACACAGAAGTCAGCTTGTGGTCACAGCTGCTCTTAGCAGAATTCAGCTACTTGGAAAAGATGCGGTATTCCACTGTGTAGGCTTGCTTTTCTTTCTCCTCCAGCCTTGTTGTTTTTCTCCAGACGGGTGATACCTGCCGGAGGCTGCGCTGGACCTGGACTGGTGTGACGGATGCGGGTTCAGCACGACGGACAGCTCCCGTTGCCCGCCTGCCCATGCTGGGCTGGGCTGCCCTCCTGCTTCTCTTCCTCCTCTCCAGCCTGCCTGCCATCAGCGGGATTCAGAAAATGCCCCCCCCCCCCCATCCTAAACTCAACGGGCTTTTGTCTGTTTGCTTAAAACTGCTAGGGCTCTGGCAGTGAATGTATCTAACCTAGCCCCCCCCCCCCCCCCATGATATTAACAAGAGTTGCTGGGGAAAACCAGCGCCACCTTTACAAGCAGGATGTGCTCCTTTGCATCACTTAACAGCAAGTTTTATAGATCTTTACTCGGCTGTTATTCGGGCTCCTTTTACAGCAGAGAGGCAAGGTGCCAAAGACTAGCTCTGAGCACATCACCATCCATACATTTCTTGTAGTAAGTAACTTCCATGGTACAGCAGTTAAGACTATTAAGCAGAGTTAAAAAAAAAAAAACAAAACAAAAAACAAACCAAACCAAAAGAAAAAAAAAAAAACCCAACCAAAAAAAACAACCAACTAACCAAAAACCCTACATATTTCCAAGTCTCTCTTTGCACTTGTGTTCACAGCCCTTGTTGCCAAAAAAGTGAACTGGATATTCTGGGGTGTAATTCAGTATCTTTCCTGCCTGAAGGTAGATTGCTTTGCATAGGATTATTTAATCATTGTATTAGAATCCAGATTGCCAACAGGGTGGATTAGTTTTGCAATCGTCAGGTTAGAATTGAATTAGCAAGGATGTGTTACCTTCTTCTGTGATGCTTGTAATTGAGCTCCAGGGTGTGTGTGTGTGTGTGTGTGTGTGTGTGTGTGTGTATCAGACATGCTTATAGAAATCCACCACAGTCCTCAGGCTGTCTTATGGACTTTTAGCACGCTGGCTTCAACCTGAGCCACTTCCAGGCCTTCCATTCCCAATTCTGGCTGCAGAGCTGACCTTGGAATGAAGCACCTCAGGTTCTTCTGTAAATTGAGTAACCAGCTTCTATGTTGTGTGACCATCAATACAACACAATACCTGAGCACCACATGTGTATGTTAACTGCTGTACTACAACTTAATTAACTTCCTGTATATAAAGATTATGCTTGATGTTTCTATTTAACATCTGCCCTTGAGTGCTTTGAATAGAAGCCTGGTAAAGTTAATCACTAGTAGGTGAAAAGGCAGCATGATGACAGATGAAATTTACAGTTGTATGATAATGCACACGGGAGGGAATAATTTCACTCATGAATATTTAAGAGTAGGTGCTAGTTTTCCAGGGTCCTGCTTAGTTGTGTGCAAACCTGGAAAAAAGTTTCTGCTACTTGTACAACAGTTAGCAAGATGATAGTTTGCTATGACAGGAAGCTACGGAAGTGTTTTAACTCACTACTATGCTGGAAAAAGTACACATAACAAATGAAAGAGGACTGACATAGGAATAGAGAATATTTACGCACATGGTACCAAACCTGTACTTAGCTGCTGTCACAAGATTGTTTCAACAGTTTGATGTGCTTTTGTGTTACTAAGCTCTTCTCCCTCCCAGACACTTAAGAATAGAGGGCTTTGGGCCCACAAGAAGAGCTCGAGCACCAGTCAAAATTCCACCTTGTTAGAATACAAGAGAAATATAAGATGATGAAGTGAGACCTTAGCCAAGCAGAGGGTAGTAGTGGTTTCCCACCCCCTACCTCTCTGATTAAGCTCCCATGCCTTCAAACCTTTTTAAATCCCCTCCAAGGGAGGGAACGACTCAGAGTAATTGCCACCAAAGCAAAATTAATTTTGAGAACTTGGGTACTTCCAGCAAGGCCTAAATACCAATTTCTCCATCATACTTTATCTACCTACTTCAATAAAACCTCTTGCAAGCCTTTGTTGTTTTACAAGCTGTCTCCATTTCAGGATTTATAATGTGATTTGAGTATCATGAAATAAGCAAACCTAACACAAAGCACTGGAGCAGATGAACTGTGTGAATTTTCATTTCTTGCGCCTTTCAGCTTCATGCTCATTTATTGTTGTAACTTGTTTCATGAAGCATTAAATAGAAGGGTCTACAAATTCATGTGGACATAACTAGAGTTTACAGCAAATTAAAACTTCCAGCATTGCTGCTATAATTTTATAATTTCATGAATATCACCTTGTATTTAATATTTATTTGCATGTATTTCCTGGTTTTGAAGAGCACTCACAGAATCAAACTGTATAAGATGTCAGAGTATCAACTCCCCTTAAACACTACGCTAATGTTTATTTTTATCCTTGTGAATAAAGTTTCAACTCAAAAAATTCTGTCAGTCATGTATTTAAGTATCACCTGATTACTACTTACTCTGCAATTAGAATACTTTTTAAGAATGGAAAGACTCACAGTCTTGGTTCTTCTAAGGAAACAAAGCTCTGTATTTGCAACTGTATGTCCAAAGAGGCTTTTGAATCTGCAGGGGCTGTGTTAATCAAAACCAAAATGCAGCATTTTATTTGTAAAGAGTCAGAAGGAATTGGTAGGAATAGTGAGAACTTTTGAAGTTTTTTTCAACCAAAGGATGGCAAAGTATGTGCAAATCCCAAAATTCTGTGCTCAGCTTTAAGTAGCAACATTTGGAATTTATACATCAGACCAATGCAGAAGCTAAGAGAGTGCTGTGAAAAGCTACTGAGAGATGCTTGGCAGTGTTAAACGTATTACCTGTGCTTTAATCTATTATTCTCTTTCCAGTCATATTAAATTCAAAACAACTTTTCCTTAGTTTCCCCAGTGGTAAGTCAACTGTGTGTAACTGTGACATAAGAAAAGTCATAAGGAAACAGGATTTGAAAGACCAATTTTTGACTCAGCTCAGTCCTCAGAGGCACAAGTTCTACTAGCTGCTCTTCACTATGACTTAATGATTTAATAAAATATGTATTAAAAAAATACCAGTGGATCATACACTTTACACGTGGGATGGTACTAAGAAGCACCATCAGCTGTGCTCTGTTAAAAGGACTGTATCCAATGACAGAGCAAATCCCCTTCCATCTGAGGGCCTCTTGCATTTCCACATTCGCTGCACACTTATCCCAAGTTTCTTCAAAAATGATGGTTAAACTCCTGTATTTTATTACATGCCAGGAATAATAATGTCTTTTTTTCGTACATTATAAATGTAAGGCACTGGAATGGGTTGTCCGAGGAAGCTGTGAATGCTCCATCCCTGATGGTGTTAAAGGCCAGGCTGGACAAAGCCTTGAGTGACACGGTTTAGTGTGAGGTGTCCCTGCCCATGGCAGGGAGTTGGAGCTAGATGATCTTAAGGTCCTTTCCAGCCCTAACTATTCTATGATTCTATGATAAAAGTTGTTAACATAAAGCAAACAGGGAACTTGCATTAAAATCAGATGTTTGTTTTAGATGAAAGACATGAGTGCAAACAGAAGCATCATCCAATTTCAGGTATACAGATAGTGTTTCATGTCTGTTCTTCAGAAAGAGCATTCTTGCTAGTGCTGGGAAGAAAAGCAGTTATCTATTCCTCTGAAGGTGCCCTCAAATACCAGCCTTCCCGTACCAGTGGCAAAGATCACCAGTAGCTGAAATTCACCAGATGACTCACTGCTGTGAAAAGACCGTGCCTATCGCTGCACCACCAGCACAACCCCGGGGACGAGGGGGGTTTGCTGCCGGCTGCCCAGCCTCAGCTCCCCCTGGGAACGAGACAGAAGCGCACATTTTGCTACGGCTTTATTCGGGACCGGCCCGGGCCTGGGGAAACCCCGCAGGAGAAAGGCACAAGCGGCGTTTTTCACAGCGCTTCCCCCCACTTCCTGAGGTCCGTGGTACGGGGAGTGGAGGTAGTGCGGGTCCCCGGCAGCCGCGCCAGTTACTACCTCCCGGCGGCTGGCCGGTAATACAGCTCCCGCTCCAGCTGCTCGACGGTCAGCGTCCCGCGGATGGGGACGCAGCCGGGGTTAAAGACGGAGTATGCGCTCAGCTCTCCCTGCCGCCGCTCGTCGGGGCCGCGGGTGCCGACGTACATCCAGTAGAGCAGGGAGAGGACGAAGTAGGGCAGCCCCAGCTCCAGCTCCACGAACAACGCCAGCAGCACCGCCCACAGCAGCACCTTCAGCACCAGCAGCAACCTCCCCGACACCGGAGCCGCCGCCTCGCCGGGAGGGGCCTGTAGAGGCGGCAGCGAAAGGCTGCGTCAGGCACCGACACGACGCCACGCAGCCCCGCCCCTCTCCTCCCCTTCTCCACCCATGTCAGCGCTCACCTGACGGCCGCCGCCCGGGCCCGCCGCGGTGGCCTCCCGCTGTCCCTCGGCGGCCTCCGGATCCGTAGCCTTTCCCGGCGGCTCCGCTGGGCGCGATGAGGCGGTGGCGCTGCCGCGGGCGGCCCGAAACTCAGCCAGGCGCCGCTCCACGGTGGCAGACATGGCCGCCCACGCCTGCGCAGGAGCCGTGAGGCAGCTCCGCTCGAGGGTGGGGCCCAGCAACGCCGCTCCGGGGCGGACCCAAAGTGGGTCTGAGTCGGGTGGAAACCCGGGGGGGAACGCCTGACCCGGAACCGTGGGCGCTCCCGGGGCCGAAACTCCCGTATAGGGACCCACAGGCAACAGGCAATGCTCTGCCTTTCCTTTTGTGAATTGGTACTGGAGCCAGCCGGTTAGCTCTGGAAAAAAAACTGTACATCACCAAAGGCCTTCCCCTTTTGTGGTTTGTCTTTTTGTGTTTCATATTTAAACCTTAATGACTAATGTTGACACCAAAATGAAAAGGGAAAGGATAGAAGGAAGCATGGGATGACCAGAACCTGGAGAAGAAGAACGAAGCATTAGCAACCAGCGTGACCAGCAGGGTTTGTGCTGGGTACTGGAGTGGTCGTTTTAGAGCTGTGCTGAGCAGCCTGGGCAGGGTTGGCATGGAGGAGGAGAAGGAGGAAAAAGTGAAGGGCACCCACATGTGCTGGGTATGCCGGCAGGCCCATGCTCAGTGGTGTGAGAGGGGCCACGGCTTGCCTTGGGCACCTGCTGCTGGCTGTGGAGGAGTGTGTGGTGGGCTTCCTCCAATGCTGGCATAGGGGCCTCTCCAGTGTCCCTTGGCACGGGTGTCTGCTAAAACCATGCCAGTTCATCCCACTTTCTCTTTAAACAAAAAATTAAAATCAGGAAAACCAGCTCTGTCACGTCATCTTTCAGTTATTAGTACAGCCAAGAAATAGAAATGTATTTACCGGAGCTGGCTCTTAGCCTCAGGAGTGAAATATTTATCACTCTGCAGCAGTAATGATTAGCCATGAGACATCGTTTCATCCTGCAGTGCCATTTCCAGTTACTTACAGCTTTCTCAGAAGTGACCTTTAGGGCTGAATATCTCACACATGTGTCAGCTCTGAAGTTAATATGAGAAGTCTAATAAAAATCAATTTGGGTGTTCTTAAGTTATCTTAATGTGGAAAAAAATTGTGGTTTTTTTTTTCCAGCCAAATAATTTTTCAAATGCCTATTTTATGCTCAGTTACAAAATAACTTACTTTTAGCCTTGCAACTTTGCAAAAAGTGACACAATGAATGACATTTTTCTCTTTATTTATGGAAATTTGATTTTGAAATAACAGTCCAAAATGTTTTAAGATAGCCTGCACAAGACATTATTTTGAATTTTTTTCCTTTCTCTTGTACTACTGTTCATGAAAACAGTTCCTCCAAGAACTGCTGGGTAATTCCACATGTTATGTTCTGCATGCATCATTCATCAAACTAATAGTTACACCTGAGCTTAATACCACTTTTGCAAGTGATTCACATGCTCTCAGCTAATATTAAAAATTTACTAGGTTTAATATGTATCTGCTGTTGTGCAAACAAATAGCTATCTTATGGCTGTGTCATGGTACCTGTATTGCCCTGTGTTGTTAAGAGACATGTAAAAGCGTGCTGTGAGTCATGCCTTTGAAGACTAAGAGCACTACAGCCATCTCATCTGTAAATGAGTGTTACACTGCAGACAAATGCCTAAACAAATTTGGATCAATAAAGTCTTAGATGACTTCAGTATATCGGTTTTAAACAAACAGCTCCATTGACTAGACAGTTTATTTAACAAACCATCTGGACAATCTGTTCCCTACTGTTAATGCTTGTAGAGGTCCTGAACAGTTCACGAAGGCCAATCTTTGGCGCCTCAGGCAGTGGTTGGGAGGGCAGGGAGGGCATGGAGAGCTCAAAAACCTCTTCTCTGTGTCTCTTAAGTCACTTCATGCCTTCTGTACTACATATGAGGGGGAAAAAAAATGCTTGTAGTCTTGCAAGCATGAGTCAAGTCTTTCTTCCCTTTTGCTGCAGCTAAGTAAATGATTAATCAAAAATGTCCAGTGCTGCTGATAGATCTCTCATGCTTCATTCTCAGTAACTGACATTCTGGAACTGCTCATCAACTTTTAGGAGGCAGCATTAAGATAACTTCAAAAACTTGTGATTATTTTAACTTGGTTTCATGCTAAATCATAATGGTAATGTCTGTAATACAAAGAAGCCCACATGTATTTCTCTCAAGAAGAAAACCTCTTGTTCTTTATATATTTTCACTTTTAACCATTTTGAAACCCTTTATCCCAGCTATAATCTTTTCATTATATTTTATTATTTATGATACAGAAGAATCTTTGCATTCTACTCTCAGCCAGTTATCACCAAGCATAAGGGAGTATTTTTTCAGTTCTTGAGAACTTTCAAAACATTAGGAATCTTGGGTATGTCACTCCATCAGCAAGAGAACTGAAAAAGATGAAGTGGCTCAGTGGTTTGGAATGTTGTTGCTTACTTCCTACAGCTGCAGCTATCTGTTCATGTGTACCAGCTTTTTCAGATATCAACACTAATCAAGTCACATTAACTTTTCTAATGGATTACTCTAATTCACTGACAGGAGCTTTCTCCTTCATGAGATAAGCATCCACACACACACTGACTTGCTAAGTGCCATTAATGCAGACAGAAGGGCAGCCCATTATTAATTTAACAACCTAGCTTAATTAGTTCAATGGAGCTGAGGGAGCATTAGCTTTAGTTGTTGAGGTCTTGGAGAACGTGCATAAAATAGATTGAAGTGCACAGACTTACACTTGTCTAATTCCATACAGAGCTTTCTGCATAGCCATTTATTAATCAATTCTAAACTGCAGGGAAGAACTGCTTCCTTTGTAAGAAATGGTCATTAATTTTCCGTCCTAAAATAGCAGCATCAGAGTGCTTTGCCTTTAGACACAATGGAAATTTTTTGTCTGCCTTTTTATTGAACTAGCTTAGGGTCTGAATTGCAAATTTTCCCGTCTGTGTAGTTTCAAAATGCGTACATTGGTATATTCACCAGTGCATGCTAAAAGGTGCTGAGATACTGGTACTTACGTTACTGCTTTATACACTGAAATGTTCTATATTTAAACACATTAAAACATGGGCAAAGCAGAATTATTACTATTTAAGTCACAACTCTGAAATGTTCCTTATCATTTTATGTGCAACTTCATTTGAGGAAAAGAACACAGTTAATATCCCTCACTATTACAATGTCAGCTGTAAATGTCGTTTCTTCTCTTCTCAAAACTTACTTATTAAAAAAACCCAAACCAACCCAACCCCCCCAAAAAAAACCCAACAAAACAAAAAACCCCAGAACTTTGTAAATTAACTATCAAAACACTTTTTTGAGGTTGAAGATACATAAGGCTTTTTGGGCTTGAAGTGAATATTTTTTTATTCTAGGTTTGCATAGCACTTAACCACAGCAGCCCATAACTAGATGCTGTAACAGCATTTCCCCTGTGTTACAGACAGTGAAAATGAAGAGCGTCCAAGAACAGCATAGAGCCCATTCTGTACCTGAGTTCTGGTTCCAAATCTATTCCCTTCAATTCCATTGGAGTTTAAAATATAGAAAATACTATAAGCTAGAAGGTGAATAAAAACTGACAAAGACTAAAAAGCAGAATGCATTGCCCCCTTAAACACATACATACACACAGTCTTCAGAAGCTTTCATTAAAAACATGCCATAAACTTTAGCATTCACAATGACTGCCAGTTTTATACAGCCACTTCCACAAAAACACAAAGAGTAGCAGAGCACTGACAAGTTTCATTTCATTTTTAAAAGCACAGAATGCCCAGAAAAGTTTTGCAATGCGTTCTCATACCTTCACATCCCTGCCCTATATGATAGATGTCATCATCCAGAAGCACTGAGCTGTCATCACAGTTGGCAATGTGCATTGCAGCTAGCTGGCTCAAGCCTTAGGCTTTTGCTGATAAATATAATTTGCCTATAAACAGTCCAAATGCAGATGAGACCGCATCTGCACCGCTGAGACGCATGTAACAGGTGTTAGGGCTTGGTGCTATTTCTGAATTTCCACAAATCATTCAGCAGAACACAAGATGAAAGAGGGAGGCATCATGGCAGTCCTATTCCTCCTTGGGTCTACAAAAAAGAAGTGAGTGTACCTACAATAAAATACTTGCATATGTATACCTCCACGTAATCCACAGGACAGAATTCCAAACTATTACTTCTGATAAACTGTCAAATTGTATGGAAATACTATCACTTTACTCCTTTTTCCAATTTCTCTTTTTTATCCTCATCTGCCTTAGCCCTAGCACCTACACTGAATTTTGGAATATTTATGATGATTGTCACCAGAAGGGAAACTGCTTGGTCAGATCACAGCGAACAGGGGGCAAAGGTTAGGGGTAAGGCCTTCCCTAGTTTTTTGAAAGATGGGAATAAACTAGCAAATCCACCAAGAGAACTTTCAGCATGACCTAGGAAAACACTTTTCCACATCACTACTTAAATAAATGGTATACCAACTACTTCTTTCCAGTTTTGCTATGGAATAGTATAAATAACTGTCATTGCAACAGAGCTTGGAGTTCTAAGCTACACCCGGAAATGCACAAAGCTTGTGTTGAGGTTCACCACTGAAAATTAGTGGATGGCACACATGTCCTGGGTTCAGCAGTAGCAGTCATGTTTCTCCTTTGTGGTAGCTGGTGCAGTACTGTGTTTTGACTTCCAGCCTGGGAACAGTGCTGGTGATACCGATGTTTTAGGTTGTTGCTAAGTGATGTTTACCCTGACCAAGGACTTTGTGAGGCTCATGCTCTGCTAGGGAGGAGGGGAAGCCGTGAGGAAGCAGAGACGGGGCGCCTGACCCAGGCTAGCCAAAGAGGTATTCCATACAACAGCACGTCATGCCCGGGGTGGGGGGTAACTGGGAGTTACCCGGAAGGACGCGGGCTTCCGGGTGGGACTTGTTTCTTGGATGGTGGTATTGTATTCTCTTCCCTTGTTATTTTCTCTCATCATTGTTGTAGTTGGTAGTAGTGGTGGTGATTTGTGTTGTACATTGGTTGCTGGACTGTTCTTGCCTCAACCCATGGGAGTTGCACTCTTTCGATCCTCCTCCCC